AAAAATTTTTTTTTTTTTTTTTTATCTGATATGTGTGGTCATACTGGAAGAGCTGAAGAAATACTCTAGAAAAGCAAAATACCTCAGTGATTTTTAGGGCATTTGCTCAGGAGGTTGTTTGCAGGTGTTGGGAAGATTGAACTGCAAAGTCCCAGTCCATCCTGATATAGGTGGCTTGAATCTTGGTCTTCCACTTTCCTACAAGGGCCTAAATATCTAACCTATCTACTGTTTAGGAGGGGATTATCTTTTACTTGTTATCCCTATTCATTTGTGTATATTGGAGCACAGATATCTCTTATGATCTAGGCAAGCTGTCTAATCACTGCTGGGATGTTTGCTGTCCTCTTTTAAATTCTCCTCTTTTTTTATCATGGTACACACCCACCACCACCCCAAAGAAATAGGAAACAAACAGGTAAATGCATTGGAAGTCTTCTTTTTTTTTTTTTCAGAATAAGGAAAACCAAACATTTTCTATTCAGTTTTGAGAATACCTGTTTTCTTTTACTACTTTTTAAGGCATTTTAATTTTCCTTTGCAATATACTCTCTATTTAAGTTATGAAACTTTCGGTTTGCTTATGCTTGTGTCAAAGGATGTAGAAATAGTTCACTGAGTGTGTAATTAAGTGAATCACAGGTCCTGATCTTGTGAGGTGCTTAAGAAAGTAACTAGTGTTGTTGGATAGGGCTAATAAGCATCAGGTGTGCACATAAGTACTTTGCTGGATTGGAGTTGCATGATAATCGTTATAATCTTAGTTTTGAAATGTGAAAGTCACGTTTTAATTCCTGCGTTTTATTTATCAGCACTTAGCACAGGTTGTAGACTTGTTTTGGTCACGCTTCCTTATTTGGAGAACAAGAATTGCTTGTGCTTCCAAACTAGATATATAAATCCAATCCACTTGACCTATACAGAAGATTCAGTAGTTGGACAAACCTTTAACTATTCATGTTTTAATTTAAAAAAAAACCAATAAAAACATTAGCATTGCTTTATTACTCTGTATTCTTATGTCTAATAATTATACAGTGAATGCACAGGCTTTGCAGAGTAATGCATCACAGTCTTCATGTATAATATTTACTGTTTTCTTCATGCTTTTCCTCTATAAAGCTTTCTGGTATAAGTGTGGGTTTTTTTTTTTTCTGTTCTGCACTGAAATTAATTACTTAATTGTCTCTAATATTGGGACCCTAGTAGCCATGATACCCAGCAGTTATGATGCTTTTTGAAGTGAAAAGCTATTCTGAATCTTTAAAAAAAAAAAACCAAAACCCAAACCCACAAATCAACCTTAAAATAGGGAGGGAGTAGACAATGGGCAGAAAGTAAAGGACTGAGTATTTTGGAATAAGGTTGTGTTGTAATTTGTAAGACATTGTTTCATTATTGGATATAATGAATTTAGTACTCATTTTTCTTTTGTCTGTAATGGAGTTTTTTATCAATGGACTTGCTGTGTATTGACCTTTCTTTGAAGTATGATATTCTTGCATTTGCATTTCTTGATCTTTTTAAATTTTGTTTTGCCTAAAGACCCTGTGTGGACAGTAATGACCGCACGTTTCCGATTGCCTGCTGGCAGAACCTACAATGTACGAGCATCTGAGCTGGCACGAGACAGGCAGCATACAGAGGTGGTCTGCAACGTTCTTCTCCTGGATAACACTGTACAAGCTTTCAGAGTTAATGTAAGTAAGTTGCTTATTGAAAATCAGTATCACCGAGCTTACTTTCCTTTGCTGGATTCATGTGGCTAGAGTTTAATTTTTCAAAATAGTGTTAAGTACAGAATAGAAGGGAAAGTTATGTTCAGATAGGCATGCTTGTACATGTACATACTATGTCACTGTGAACTTAGTCATTCTGGCATTCTCTACAGTACTAACACATCTTCATTTAAAGATCAAATAAACCAAGCATTATTTAGTCCGTGAAGGGAATTCCTAGAAATAAAGTTGTGTAATGGAAATGGAGAACAGTTTTGCCACTGAGTTGAAGGAGAAGCAAGCCTTTTTTTTTTCTTTTCCATTCTGTTTTTTGCATTTTGAGCATGAGTAGGGTGTAATGGTAACTCTTCTCATGATTGTGTAATGTAATTGTCATGTTCTATTGCACATATGGTTCTATTTGCTTACAGCTATCCTATTAAAAGTATCTTTTCGCTTTTTACTTTTCTCAGATTATATTCTTGTTCTGTCATTTCTCTCACTTAAACTCACCACCTTCTAATGTACTAATGAGGATAACAAGAAAGAAAATAGGAATCTGGTTACTGAATGCTAAGGACTGTTACCAGGAAAAGTGAATAACTTTTACATATGAACCTGGAAGTGAAATAGGTTATTAATCAGATTTTCTAATCTGTGATTCTTGATAAGGAGTTAAAGTGAAAATGTTCATGATTTTGTGCATATGTTCATGCAAGTGCAACCATTTATTTTGACTTCTTGAGGAAAAAACCCTCACAAACAACAAGCAAGGTCCTCACAAGAAAACATTAAAACATCTAAAGTGATCCCTGTGAGAACCAGAACTCAACAGGAAAGAATCCAAAGGATGTCCTGAGGCAGGAGAACTCAGCTTTTACTTTATAAGCTACAGAATTGATGACTTATGTGTGAGAAAAGTTGAATCATATGATGGTGAAAGTTACAGGTGGCATGATTATTAAAGTTTTTCAAGAAAAAATTAAGCTTTAGTGAATGGACTAAAGGGGTAGTTCAATATCAAATCAAGCTGTAGGACTGCCCATCGTTGGGGTAGACCTGATGGCCCGATGCCGGTGTGGAGCCTAGGGCATTCCACATGGGAAGTGAGAGAGAAACTGAAGCAGCGTTCGAATCTATTTGAAAAAGTTTAATTTGGACTATGTAAAAAAGTTCTAATGCTCAGTAATTATATTGAATTCTGATATCCAGTGTTGAGTGATGATATTGATATATTTGAATGTTTTAGGGAAGATTTGTAAGAGTGATTGCAATTCTCTGTTCTGTTATCAGGTGGTTAGAGCCTGCGTAGCTTAGAGCTGCCTATCAGAGAAGTGGAATCTCTGTTATCTAGCAAAAACTCGCAAGGATTTAGTGTCAAGTGGCTTAAGATTTAGAGGTGGACTTGGTGGTTATTTGTTTTAGACATTTCAATCAAGATAGAAGGCTTAAGATGTTCTCTTAAGGCATTCTTGTAGTTCATTCAGGAGCTATTTAACTTCTGGGGACTTCTGAGTAGTTAAGAATGGGAATTTTGAATGATGGAGCTGGGGGAGGGATGACCTAAGACTTTAATTTGTCAACATCAAGCCTCATTTTTTTTCGGGGGTAATTTGTCCCATATCCATATGTTAGGGAATGCTAGTGCCTTTCTAAAGTAGATCACCACTTATAAATTCACAAATATCTATTCTGTTTCTCTCAGGAAGAACTAATGTAATATGTTCTTGCAACCTCCTTAGTGTACTAAATGTTTTAGTTGCATGGATCATACTTTACTGCTTATATAGATCAGCCTGCAAGTTTGTCTACTAAAACTGAGTTTAGGGAATAAAAAGTTCATTGGTACTCAACAATTTGATCTCAGGTCTTAGCCTCAATCTGTTTTTTTCAAAAATAGGGAGTAATAAAGTATTCAATCATAGCAAATGTATGCTAGGCTACACAATACCAGATTTTCAGGGTTTATAGCTAAGTTTATTGTGGTTGACACAATACTTGGCAATAAATATTTATGGAATTGTTTTCAAAACAGGAAGAATAAAGATAACATCAAATAAATTATTAAGATTTCTTTCTCCTGGTGATTGTTATAGGTATTCTGCATGGTAATCATTGTAAAACTTAATCATCTGGAGTATGCAGTGCTGTATTAATAAAAATGTACTCAAATGCTATTTCTTCTCCAACAGCAAAGTGCTGATCACAGACAATGTCTCTTGGTAATTTATGTGACATGTTCTAAGTTCACATTTCAACAAGCCTTTTCCATTGATCTGTAAAATAGGCATTCTTAGTGCTAAGCCTTACCTTGTATGGAGCGTAACAAATCAAATCAAATAATCCCTGTGGATTGCAGCCAGGTTATTTTGGTTGCAGGCAGAAGAATCAGTTGGCACTAACCTGTACATGTGTTTGAAGAGTAGAAATCCTTTTTATAGAATGCACTGCTTAACACATAAACAACTACTCTGACCCTGAAAAACATACTTCATAAAATGTGTAGCTGGAAGAAGTGAGGCTGACTTAACAACATGGTCAGAATGATTTACATTACTGTAAACCTGCTTTTCAAAGATCAGATTGCTTTAATTGGATTTAATTAATTGTTTAAATACTTCAAATTGTATCTTTCCCATGCAGGCTGACTTAATTGTATTTCATGAAAGCCAGTACATAGGTATGGAGATCACACTAAACTTGAAAGAAAAGTAAGACAAGGTAGATGGGATGAGTTGTTCTGTGAGCAAGGCTCTAGTGGGTTAGTGGTCATGGACAAATGTTTCAATTTAGAGCCTTCATTGTCTCAGAATTCTCCTCAGATTTAATGAATTTACACTCTAATGGAAGTAAAATCTAAAAATGTGTAAAAAACCTAAACAACAACAAAAAAACCCACACCAACAGAAACCCCACTTTTAGAAGTGAAAATTTTCAATAATATTCAGCATTATTAATTGCTTCCGTTTTTTCTTTGACCAAAAAAATAATAGCCTGCTTGGAAACCTTTTGAAATCAAGATAATTTTTTGCAAAGCTAACGTAAGATGTAGAATAGAAGGAGACAGTAGTGCAGTTCTGACTGTTTGGGGGTGTGCTTATTTTAGTTGCAACACAAGTATTGCGGTGAGCTGCGAGAAGAGAGGTTTTGTCATCGGTGAAGGAGCAGGACGGTCCCCCACAGACCTGTGAGCAGTAGAGCTGTCTGACCCCCTCCAGGAAAGCCCAGGGCCCGTCATTCCACTCCTCTGTAATCAGTAGTCCAAATCTGTTTGGACTGACACAGCAACAATATCTCCTGGTGTTTCCTGTAGATGCAGCCAGTTCTGTAGGCCAGCAACATAACCCGAATGTCAGTAATGTAAATTGGAAAGATGGTAGTTGTTAAGCAGGCATTAAACCTATGTAATGGCAGATGTTTTCAAACAGGGGTGTTGGTAAACAGCTAACAATCATTTTAGGATTAGAAATTAATGTGCATATATCTAGTGGTATTAGATGTTGGCCACTAGATGATAGATATTCATAAAGTGCAGTTAATATATTGATATCTAGGGTTGATGTAAAATTGTTCTGAAAGGTCAAAATTAGTTAGACATTTTAATGTTTATCTGTACAAATAAATCAAGTTTCTTTTTATGCTAATCCACATTTATTGGTTTTGCTTTTTATTTTAGAAAAACAAAAGTAGAAAGCTGTTATCATACTTTCTAGAATTTATAGCAGCTATTCAATGGTTATGATAGTATTACAAATATTTTGGACCTCTCACAGCAAGCAGGATTGTGACCTTCACCTGCTCTGGCAAGCTGCAACATCATGATGTAAATATCAGAGATGGGTTAGACTGAGGTCTGGTTATACTAGATGCTTATCTTTATCTTGCACTGAGAGTAAAACATTGTGATCAAAACAAATGCTTCATGTTGAAACTAGTCTTCTCTTACCAAATTTGCTGCTTTATTGCAGGAGAAATACCTTCCTTGCAGTCGTGAAATGACAGTCTGTATTACTGAATTCAATCTGATCAGCAAGTTCCAAGCTTTTTTGTTAGGAAATGTCTATTCAGATATTTAAGAAACAGTATAAATTCTAAGGTTTGGATTGGAAAAAAGCTACAGAATTGATATCTGCATGTTATTTGAAGAAGTAACATGTCAGCTGCAGTAAATGTAAGCCTAAACCTGGGTTCCAGATGTCTCCCAATTTCTAATAGTTACTGTCATAAGTTCTTAGTTTGAGTTCTGATTTAAATCTACATGGGGAAAAAAGCCAAAAAGAAATTAGCGTTGCTATGTAATTTTAAAATTAGTTTTATTTGCTGAAAAAATTGTACTGATTACTGATTTACTTCAAAATATATCAAAACCTCCTAATTTAGTAAAAATGAAAGTGACTATTTTTGGATTGTATATAAAAATTGTCATGCATTTATGCTGTTATGTATTTATGATGCTAAAGTCTGGGGGGTTTTTGCTTGTTTTTAGTTATTGGGAAGTAAATTTTTCAGTAGTGAACTTTTTAACAATGGTATTCCTGCTGGCAGTTCATTTTGTTAAACATCAAGAAATTTTCTCTGTATTATTTTTTTTAAAAAATAAGATCATCTTTTCAAGTAAATACAGCAATTCTTAGATCACTTTAATTTAGCCAGATCTATATGGGACCTGAATATATGCATTATGTAATTTCAGTTTAAATGCACAGAGCTATGGTTATGATTGGCCTGCTGGCATCATTTCAAGCATAATTTCTTGATAACTATTTTCTAATTTTTTAATTATTACCAAATAAATTATCAAGTTTTGTAGAGTCTTTAGACCCCAATAAATGGCTTTGACAATTTACTCAACTTCCGTGTAATTTCAGCTGAACCAAAAAAAAGTTTTAATAGGATGCTCTTAGGTGTTAACAAATGTCTGAATGTAACTTGTAGATTTTTCTTGTATATGGAAATTAATTAAATTCTTGCAACCTTCTTTTGACCTTTTAGTTACATACTTCTTTTTTAATGACTGTAAAAGTAAACTGTCATATAATCTCTATGAAAAGTGAGGTCATTTGGGAGCAGGATATGAGGGGTTTTGTTTTAAAACTTCTGAAATATCTTATGGCCTACAGTAGACAAGGCAAGATGTATCAAATCCACTGTAGTATCATTAATACTTGTCACCTGGAAGATTATCAGAAGCTTGCTTGGTGCCAGAGAAGTAGAAAATCTGGGTAGACAATGTATCAGTCACCTCTTTCATATTTTTTTTTTGTTTGACAGTTGTTCTTGCAGATTTTTTCCTCATCTTTTGTACTTCAAGAAGCTGTGACACTTTAACTTCTTTGGGAAACTCCCTTCAGGTTTCACCAAATGTATTTATTGAGTCCTGTCATAATGGCACACTCAACATTTCAGTTACTGTGTTGGCAGTATTTTCAGGTTAGGCAAAAAATTGCTATGTACTAACAACTACAGATTCATTTGATATCATTTTGAGGGTAAAATTTGTCCCTGTAGTAGAAATCAAGTTTGTTCACTTGTCTCTGAAAAGCAATGTTGCTGCTGTTCAGTTAATTCGAATTAGTTCATTTAGAATGAAGTAGTAGCTTTGAGAGAATGCTTTTAAATGACGCTTCTCAGTTAGATATTTGGCTGCTTCAGCTGTCTGTCTATGCCATTTAACTGTGGAAACATTTTCAATATGCTGGTTCATTTGGATTCAAGAATAGATTTTCAGATTAAATAAGTAAGAATAACTTGTACAGACCTGTACCTTTAAATTCAGTGACCCAAACAAGGCTACAAAGTAATTTGGTCAAATCCTAGCCTTCTTTCCGTCTCTTTTCTTCAGTATTCCTTTTAAATATCAAATTTGGCTAATGACTGGCTTTCGGGAATAATCACGTAGCTATCTGAGAAGTGAGAAATTCTTACTGTCAGAAAATGACAAAGAGGAAAAATAATAATTCCTCACATATCTTTCAAAAAGCGAGATGAAGCTCGTTTAAAAATAGCACTTCTGGGATACACTTCGTGATATTTAAAATTTAGGCTGCTAGAGTACATCTGAAAAAATGTACATGTTCTCTGACTGCCTGAAGTCTGTGTGTCCAATTATATATTTGTTCATTAAAAAAATATATGTATTTGTTCTCTGCAGAAACATGATCAGGGACAAGTTCTGTTGGATATAGTCTTCAAGCATCTCGATTTGACAGAGAGAGATTACTTTGGTTTACAGTTGGCTGATGAATCTACTGATAACCCTGTAAGTTGAGTCTTTTATAAATATGTTTTTATAAATCATAGTCATGTTCATCACTCTGCTCCGTGTCATTATAAAGAGAAGTAATTAGAAGCCACTGCAATATTGTGCCGTCATCTCCAACTGAGTCATTTGAGTTGGGTTGGTATACCTTGTATTTACAACAAAACTAAATGTTAATAGTTATAAGTTTGAAGTAAAATGTTGAGATCAGTGCTTATGAAATAATACCTTAAAGGGTTGTTGCTTGTTTCATTGTATCTATTTACTAGACTGCATGATTGTTGTCAGTTGGGATAAGAAATAGTAACTCTTTCAAAATCTTCAATATCATTTATTTCCATTAGGACTTACAAAAAATTGAGGGGTTTTTTAGATTGCCCTGTTTGATGGTTTTGTTTCTAGCCCAGATACTTGGTAGGTCTTTTAATAGCACTTCATATAGTCCACTGTCAAGGGCAATCAGCTCATGACCTTAATTGGAAAAGGAAGGGACTCCTTTGAAAATGAGTGTTTATAACAGTTCATGTGCTTTAATTGAAAGGAAATGCTCTCGGACTAAAACTTTGTAAATCACCAGTAGAAACTAATAGATCCAGCTGTAATGTCCAGTGCTGGCTGTAATAGATATAGCTATAGTGTTGATGTCATAATGGCTTGAAGAATACTTCTTGAATACTTTCTTTTATAGGTATCAAATGTTTGATACTTTTAAGTTTTAAAGTGCAGTTTATCTAAGTATTATACCTTATAAATACAGTTCTTTCCCTCATTCCCATTATATATGTGTACAGAGATGGGGTCTAACTTTATTTCCCACCTTGTGTGTCAAAAGTAATTTTTGTTCACAAAATGTGCAGAATGTGATCTGACACTGTCAGAGATCTGACACTGTAGAGTGTTAATCATTTGGTAATGAAGGTAAATTTCAGAAGGCAATGTAACTTTCTTTGGTAAGTGCAGATTTCATCTAGTGTTGTTTTACTATTGAGTGACTGGTCTAAATAGGAGGAATACTTATTTTATCTTACTAAAAGGTTGGATGTTTTTCTTTTTACTTATTTTAATGTAGAAGAGGAAGAAAGAAGTCACAATACAGCCATAATTTTTCTTCTGCCTGAATAGGGAACTGCTTCCACATTTCTTTCTTCTCTAGAGCAAATTATTCTTAATTATATTCTTTTTCCATGTTCTGGTAACATTAAAATTAAGATGAATAAAGCTGTGGATAGTTCTTTTAAGACATTAGCAGACTGGCCTCATTTAATCTTTTTATTCTAAGCTTTGTTTTCAGGATGAAAGGCATGCTGTAGAAAAAGCTGAATTATTTTTCAGCTCTGTTTAAGAAGTATTTACTTGAATATTACTCCATATTTTACTCAACATTCATAAATTTGTACTTTCTCATTCATCTGGATTTCCAAAACTTAGACCTCTAAGCTCTCTTCTTGGTTTATCCATCTGGAAGCAGCTGAACACAACACTGTAGTAGACGGATCTGGTTAAGTGTTAGTCCAAAAGAAGAATGACTTAACAGCTATTTGATATAAACACATGCTTTAAAGGTTTAGTAGTCTTTGCCTTCTAAATATTTTGGCTTTTCAGCACATATCTAGTTGCCATGAAAACAATGTGTCTGTGCTAAATAGAAATGTTACCAATAATAGTCATGTAAGTTTGAAGAATTTATGGGTTTGACTAATTTCAGTTTTTGATATCAGTTTACTTTTACACGCAGTTCATTTGGACAAAAAAATATTATATCTCAGTAATATTCCACTGTATTGTTTCACAAGTAACTAGAGTATTTGTCAATCCAAACTAAGATATAATCAATACGGTAGGAGATAAAGTTGATGGGGAAAAGGGGACCCTGCTAATGGAGTGTGAAACCTTTATCATTGTACCTAAATGTGTATTTCATAAACTGCACAAGCTTTATATTTTTGTATAATATTAATGTCACAGTAAAAGTCAATGCAAGAAAGCATTGATGCTGTGTACAACTGGAGTGATGTATTTGTCTTAAGTCTTGTGCTGTGGGTGAATGGAGTAACACTGAGAAGGGGGTATTGATGTGTAGTGGGAGTGAGGGTGCAGCGAATACTGTCAGAGTGGGTGCTGGAGTGCCCTTGGCAGGAGGGAGTGAGGTAGGGAACATTGCTGGGGTAGGAGAGAGTACAGAAATGACTCTCCAAGGGAATGGGGTGCAAACTTCATGGATCCCCAAATCTACCTGCCTCTTAAGTTTACTGGGATAACATGTCTTGTTAGCAGCACCTTGATCCATAAAATTCTGGTACTTCTGCCTAAATCCTGTTAACTTCAGCTTCTTTACAATATTAAGTGGTTCAGCAGTTTCCCAGAGAGAAAATCACCTTTTGCATTTGGATCCAATGATATCACTTGAAGTCAAAAATATTGGCTGTTAAATATGCTTAAAAACAAGGTTACTCTTCTGTGGTTTGAACTATGCTAGTACATACCAAATTGATCTTTACAACCAGAAGCAAATGTAAATGCAAGCTTTTCTGCTAGGCCTTTCAATTCCAAGTTTCCTGGATTAACTGTAATCTCAAAAAACCCGCCACCCCAAAAATAATCTACGGATTATCAGTCATATCTGTACATTTATCAGATATATTGGATCATAGCCCCTTGCTTAAAGATATTCAAGTTTCTTTCACCATGTTTTGAAATATTCTTATATAAAACTTGTATGTATCCCTGGCTGGAGAGTCCTTTCTTAAATCTTTACATTTATTCCAAAAAATCAATTAATCATGTGTCAGGGTTTTTTGGACATAATCACACTCTTAAACTGTATCAAACTGTCTCTTTAGTTCCTCTTAAGTCGTCAACTACAAGGATACAGTATTTGGATGTAGTCATCATTATTTGTTATTAACAATGAAAAAATGACTCGGAACTAACTTCAGATCCATAGTGTGTGTCAGATAGCTCAGGCACTTCTGTGTGTTTGCTTCCTGCTCCCTCACATGAAAAAATCATCCCTGTGATAAGTGTGAGGTACTTACATGCTATACAGGGTTAAGTCTCTCTCACTTCATAGGAATTGTGGCCATATAACTGTTTCCTGAGGCTTGCGGGCTTGCATTGCAAGGCAGGATGAGGAATCAAACAGTATTTATAACAAAGGTAGATTTATGAGTTAACTGAACTATGCTGGTATGTGCTGAGTCTGCTGTGTTTGTTGGTGGGGAGTGGTTTAAACAACTTGCAGGGCTTTCCAGAGAACCATACTTCAATCTAAGATTTGCAGCATTGATTTTTATAAAGACCTGTCTGTACTTCCCCACAGCAGTGTTCTGCTGTAGAAACAATCAATGTTGGGCATCACTTGGTAAAATTGTTCTGTACTCCTTAATCCAGCAGACTGAGTGCTGAGTCTCTGGTTTCCAAGATCCCAATTAGTGATTTACCAGAGATGACACTCAGGCTGACAATTTAAAGAGAATCTGTGACCCAGTGGGATCACTCCCTGGATGTGTCAGACCTACTAAATGCAGAATCAAGAGTATAAACACTAGTTTAAGTAAATTAACTTCTGAGTTGGGTAAATCAGCCTGCTCATCACTCTTCACTGCCATACTTAGTGCACCTCAGACAATCAGTTTAAAGATTAGCTGAAGTGACCACATCATAATTGAGTTCTGACCTCTCTCAGGCTCACTTGACAATCATAGAACCAAGTCATAGTTGAATTAGCGCTGTAAGAGACAGATATCTGAACAACAGAGGTTAATCACGGGAAAAGAACAGCAGCAACTGCTGATGATAATGTTGGTGTCTTTCCAGAATCAGTAACAAGACTTTGTATGCCAGTAAGACATTCTGGTAGAAGACCAAGTAAAAAAAGCAACAGTTTCTTGATGTGTAAGGCTACAATTTGGTCTATTTCTCTTTTTTGAAACTTTTTTGTTTCTCTAAAGTTAGTGTTATAATTTGTCTCTTTCCAGAGGTGGTTGGATGCAAACAAACCTATCAGGAAACAATTAAAAAGTGAGTACATGTATGTATTTGGTCAATTCATATTTAATTATTATGCTGTTTTTCCAGGGTACCCTGATTAATTAAAAATTACTTTTCTTGACTGTAGGAGGATCTCCTCACAGTTTGAACTTCAGAGTTAAGTTTTTTGTAAGTGACCCAAACAAGCTCCAAGAAGAATATACAAGGTAGGTCTAGTTAATTTATCAATAAGACATTTTTATAGGACACATAAGGGGAAGATGATCATTAATTTTTTAAAGCTATAACATGGAAATTTTCTTTTGAATCATTTTGATGTTGTATGTGCAAGCTTCTAATTTTTGCCTAATAATTACAGATATGAACAGTTGCACCAAATCAATATAACAAAAAGCTTCTGTGAATAAATTTACAAATTTATATGCAAAGTGAACTACATGAAGAAAATACTACCATGTAGAAACAGAAAAGGGAAAGTAGAGAAGAGTGGAAAAACTTAATCCCACTATTCACTAATGAGTACAAATTTAATTTTATCCTTACTTGTATTCTCCTTTGTGATTATAAAATTCCTGAGCTTTCTGCATTTTATTCTTGATCTCCCCCCCCCGCCCCCATTTTCTGCTTGGCGCTAATAAAATTAATCAGTTTGTATGGTTGTAGTCCTAGCTTGAAGCATGTAAGCTTATTTTGATAGCAATATGTTGAAGTCTGTTGAAGAAAACGCTCAGTGTGAATCAAGATAGGAGGCTTGTGCGTTGCAATTAGTCCTTGAAGAAATGCCTCAAATTTTCAGTCTTCCTAATTAGTTCTGGTCCTCTACATAAGTCGCATGATTTGACAGATTGGATGTCAGCCATTCTGAAAACGGGTCAGCCCCTTTCAAAAAGCACTATCTAAATTATTAAAGACAGCTTTAGAAACATAAATACCAAAACTGTGAAAATTTGAGTCCACATTTGTTTATAATTTCTTTTGATTTGTCATATTTTGTACAATTTTACACACATCTATGATGGCAGAATTTGCTAAAATGAGTCCCAGAGATCCTGGATCAGGCTCTGTTTTATTGAAATATGTACTCTAGGAAAATTTGGCAATTTACTATATCAGAAAAATGAAAAATGTGTCATTTGAATTAAAGGACAATATGTAATATTCCTGAAGAGATGGAAAAAGAAATGTTAATCAATAGGAAGTGAACAGTAAAGAAAAGAGAGAACTGTTTTATTTAAATGTTATACTGTAAATACAAAGCTATAACTACAGCATCCTTTTAGATGAGAAATAATATATGACTGCTGTATCTAGGTCAGCTCTGCCTTTTTTGCTAATAGGCCTAATTGCCCCTGAGAAAACTCATTTGTATTTGAAATTATTACAGAGAGTGAGTTACTATCTGTGGGGTTTTTTGGAGTGAAGTTAGGATGCCATGTCACAAATATGGGGTCCTCTTGTGTAATCGGTGTTTCCCCCTTTAAAAAAAGAAACAAAGCGAAAACTTATGACAGTTCCAGCTCAAGCTGAGACTTTTCAGAGATGCTTAGTTTTTTATAAATTTCATGAAAACAGGGGAATGAGTCGACATATGAGGCTGTATGACTAGATGTCAGAGAAAGGTTCAGTGTGAGCTCGTGTCTTACTACACACCTCTGAATTTGTGTGAGGGAGGCAGGTTACGAACGTGCCAGGTCAGGAAAGGTCAGCAGCAGCTCACCTTGTGTTGGAGAATTTAGCTTTATGAACTTGTCTTGATGGCAAATGAAGCTTCATTAGTTCTAGTCATGGCAGAAACAGTTGTTTATTAATGTTGACTCCAATTACAATCATTTTGTCTTACCCTTTTCTAGATATATCTATATAGGGAAGATGAAAACATTGTAATGCAATACCACCTTCGCTGTTTTAGCTGAATTTGTTCTTCAGGCTTTTTCAGATCTACAGCTAAAGCTTCTATTGTTTTCCCATTTTGCTCAATAATATGTGAGGCTTCAGTATTCAAACTGGGTTGGTTAGCTAACAAGCCATTAACTTCACTGTTTGCTAAAAACAGTGGACAGAAAATGAACCCTGCTTGGTGTTCCTTAATCATGAGATCCCTTAACTACTATGGAATATTTCTAATAAAGCATTACACACAAAAAAGTAAAATAAAATGAAGGTGCAGCTGCACATACAGGATGTTTTTGTCCCTCATTTTTGCAGCCATAAATGTTAACAAGAAAAGTAGGAAAAATCGATTGGTTTTGTATATTTGAGAAGAGATACTCGAGCTAAGCATGTGAAGCATATAGTTTTAATATATAAATTTAACTTGTCATTTATTGCTTCTTTTAACTCTTAAAGAAATTTTGCTTTATCTGTCTCGGTTTCAATATGCATTTTAAGGTGGAAAATGAAAGAGTATTTTGAGGTCTCTAAAGCCTGGCTAATGTCTTAGTTTTAACTTCTTGTGGTTAATACCTTAAACTAAGCTTCTTGCCATGATGGTCAGTTAAAGAACCCCTTGACAGATCTGTAGGAGTTGAGCATATGGGTTAACATCTTTGCTTGTCACTTTGCAAGTGTTTTCCCTTGTTTTCTTTCAAACATGGAATGCCATACCTTTCCACTATATTTAGCTTGTAAACGATTGGATTTCTCTGTGTGTATTTGTAAATGTTTGTGGAAGTCTTTAAAGTGGTAGTTAACCCACTTTCTGAAGACTACACAACTATGAGAGGTCATATTATGTGACATGAAGTGATAGATTTTTTTAAAATTTCTTTAAGTTAATATTGGGAAATACTTAATGTTCGGTTTCAGTTGAACTTGAACTAGGTAGTTTTGATAAGTAACTTTGAATGTTTATAATGAATGGATATGGCTGAAGCTCTGCTTTCAAATCAGAACTACAAGAAGGAAACCAGATGATTTTTATAATAATGTAGGAGGTCCCAAAATGAAATAAATTTATAAGAAAGCAGGAATGAGGTTTAAATTTTCCACTCAGTGAATTTTTTTAAAAAATAAAAATACATTAGAGCCTAAATTCTACAGCTACTTTTATGCTCTGTTATTAAGGGGTTTTGCTGAAAGTTTGTTTAAGTTTGTGCTAACATCCTGCCATCTCAGTAAGTCTTGTTTGTTGCCTCACTTCAGTCTCTGTGTCAGTGGAGTTTTATAAAAGCATGTGTAATTTGCCACTTGATATAAACATTTATACTTCTTTGAAATAGTCTAAAACCTTTGAGTGAAATATGAAGGACCTCAACTGAATAAACAAAAGATTCATTCTGAGATGTTAACAAAATATTTGGGGTTTGTTGGAGAAATGAAGTAATTTGGAGGGAAATCTGTTTGCGGTTTCATGTTTGTAGAGGTTCTTACAGTGTTTCTGCTGCCATTTTTTGATGGGAAATAGTTCTTGTTTTAAAGTGTTCGTATGTTCCTTTTGTTGTTTCTACCTTCCTCCTGACTTGAAAGAGTGGTCATGGGAAGACTAGATGTATTTCTAGAACAACATCGTAATTAAATAAAACTTCAGAAGTTCAAGGGAAGTCGGTCAGAAGGCATTCAACATAATAGAATCCACAACTTTTATTTAAGAATATGACTCCAAAATACTAAGAGTAAATATGTTAATTTAAATGAAAACAGAATAATATCAAATACTCAATGAAAAGAAATTAATTTTATCTACCTGTAGTACAAATCATTGTTATGAAGGTACCTCATACACAGATGTAAACTTCAGCTTTTGGATGTTATGTTGAATAGTTCTGTTGTTCACACTAATTCAAAAAACTTCTTCCCTTTTTTTAAACTTTAAATTCAACATAAATACTGGGAAATAAAGCAGGTAGAATGTGAAATTTGCAGCCTCTTAGTCAAATGTGTATATCTTCTTAGCCTGTAGCTAGTTTAATTTACAAAGTTGAATTATTAGTTCAGTAATCACAGTTTAATTTCATTCCCATAGGAGTTTAAGAAATAGCATGCAAAATATAAAGTTTTAGTTTTGCACTAACTGAAAGTAAAATGCATTAAATTGATGAGAAATGGTTAAATAATTTAATTTTTAATTAATGTTTTTTGTTTGTTTCTTTAAGGTACCAGTATTTTTTGCAAATTAAGCAGGACATTCTTACTGGAAGGTAAGACATTTTTGCTGTGTTAAACATTAAATGTAAGTTGGATTGAGAAAAAGTTAATGGTGAGGGATTTTGCCAGCAAAAATAAAAATATATTTAAAGTAAATTACTGTTTATGCAAGTAGAAGTGTGTATAATAATTATCTGTCCAGTTTATTGATCGACTATGAAAAAACATGGCTTTTCAAAATAACCAAATTTCATATGAAATATGTAATTTTATATATTTCTCATTTTCAAAACAAAACAGATTGCCCTGTCCTTATAATACTGCTGCTCTTCTGGCATCCTATGCTGTTCAGTGTAAGTATAATTAATATTCATGTACCCGTTAGTATGGAAATATTTGAAAAGTGGCATCAATTAGTTTTTGAAGAATGGAGTTTGTATAGCATTGCATTGTGATGTTTGTGGACATGATATTACTTTTCTAATAATTAAGGAAATATGGTTACTTGGTTTTTCTCCCTCAACATGTTTTGCTAAATTAGATATGGAAAAAATACTGGTAATGCTGTCTGCTTTCCTTCTATAAACCCATGCAGTTAAAAAACCCAAAACCAACCCTCTTGTATTTCTCTGTATTCTGAAGTGTGGGGTTGGGTTTTTTCTTGAGAATTATACTAAAGCATTTTTTAGACACTTAAACATTTTTAACATATCATACAGTGAACCTTCAAATAGGCGTGGAAGAGGGAATTCTGGTCATATCTGGCCAAAAAGTTCAATACCCTTGTTGTCAATTTTAAGCCATCCAGTGAGTAGATAAGGCTTGAAGACTGAGATTTAGTCCTCTTCCTCTCTCCCTATTTTCCTTCATAAACTTAAATTGTTCAGTGGAAGAAATAAAAGCCACCTAAGAGACTGTTCAGCACTTTGTTCTTGAATTTTGTGATTGTCAGAAATTCAGTTTTAGAAGCAATCCTGATATATCCATTTATATTAATGTATTTTTCTGCTGTAAAAGATACTTGTATCTACATTTAGTACCACGTATACTTTGTATGTATCAGAGAAAGGGTGCCCATGTTAATCTTTTCAGGGAAAAAAATGTATGGTCATGTTAATGTAACATTTTATGCATAATTTTGATAAGTGGTCACCTCTTTCCAGATCAATCAGTAGAGCATTTTCTCTTAAACAAAACTCCCAAACTCCAGCTACTTGGAAATAGATATGTACTGCAAGTGCTGTCATGCTGTAAGGCTTTACCTTTGAAGTATTGGATAATGAAGCAGGCACTATGAAAAGTTTATAACATTTTAAGCTTTTAAGCACGACATATTTTTATTTTTCAAATATTGTAGAAGTGGTGTATGTGCTGTGTATTGTAGTTACATTTATATATATCCCTATGCCCTTAATTTTTTCAGGGTACAGATTTCTGTCTAATCATCATCTGTGCATGCCTATTACTAACTCTCTCTGGGTTTAGCCCTTGGGATTCTTTATAAATATAGGTAAATAACAGATGTAGATCTCAGGCAGTCCTGTATTCTCTGTGGTGGATTTTAGCAAGACATGCATTCTATTATAAAACCTGGTACTATTTTCCAATTTTTAAATTATTTAAAATGGGATCTGTTTCTGGAGATGCAAGTACCCCAGACTTCTTTCCTACGTTCCCTTCTCTTGCTTATCCTCCTGCTCCACAAGTGCCTTCATCCCCCTTGTCAGTTCTTCCATGCTCCACAAAAGTATCAGTAGGCCTGCCCAGGATGCCATGTCATGCTGTGTTGCTGTGAACTTTCCAGTTTTCACGGGTTATCTTAATTATCTATCACATACATTACAGATATTTAAAGCTGAATTTTTTTGGATTATAGTTAGCCTCAAAGCCTGTATTAGCAAATGTATGGTTTTTATTCTGACAGTAAATTAGGTTTTACTTTATTTCTTACAAGAAAGATTATGTAAACGCACTTTTTAGTAGTTTCAAGTAAAGTAGTTTCAGTGTAGGTGTGTGTATGTGTACTTTTTTCCATACATACAGCTGAATGTGCAAAAAAATATTTTTCTAATGCTTCTGAATATATCTTGGTACATAATGAGTTGGTGGTTTTGGCAGATCTTAATGGAGAAATAGCAGTTGTAGTGTTAAAAATAAATGTATTGCGTAATCACATGAAAGCAAGCACAGGTAAAATTAAAAAAGAAAAAAATCAAATCAAATACCTTGAAGTATATTCTTTAGTGCTAGCCATTATGACAGCATTTATCAGTTAATTTGTTTATTAAAAAGTAAACATTTTATAAACTTCCTTCATAAGCACCTACTCAAAGCTTTCTTTAAATTATCTCCATGGTATTCACTGAGAATGTGACTGTTTATTCAAAATGGAAAAGGGGATTTCAAATGTCTTCTCCATTTTTGTTTGCTCTAGATCATAAAGTATGGGGGAGCAGACTCTTGTGAATTTGGGGGCATTGCATAATGCCAAGTACATCAGTGATAAACAATAACCTCTCTTTTTAATATTTTAGCCGAGCTGGGAGACTACAACCATTCAGAAAACTTGCCAGGCTACCTCTCAGACTATTCTTTCATCCCTAGCCAGCCTCAAGACTTTGAAAAAGAAATAGCAAAATTACATCAGCAGCACATGTAAGGATTTATAGGAGAAGATATTGACTGACTTTATCAAATCCTGACTGCTGGTGCTGTGCTATTGTATAAAAAAATGAGTATTTTGTCTTAAAGGTTTCTGGGGGTGGTTTTGGTTTGTTTTGGTTTTTTTAAGAGTACATTTAATGTGATTGATTTTTGTAGATTGTATAATAACTACCATTAATACTCTGCACAAATGTCTGTGAATGGGAAATGACAGGGAAAATAAGTGAAAAAACAAACGTGTTAAAGGTACACTGAAAACTATTTGTGAGTATTACATAGGATATTAACTTAGCAGTATATAATTTCTTTAAGAGTTTTTTTTCATTCTTTGAGAATGTTCTGTGCATAAAGGGTTTGTTTTCATGGTGCTCTCACCAGTAAACAAGAGTTACTTTAGCAGTAACAAAGTCCTTTTCTTCAATATCTGCTCTTTCCTGTGTGCAAGTCTGTGACCTTTTACTAAAGAGGAAAAGGCAATGAAGCAATGGAAATTATTTTTTTTTCCAGTGTGTAACATTGTGGTAGTTTTTCAGTGATGGTTCCTTGGTATTTTAGAACTTATGTGCTTTTTGTTACAGTTAATTTTAACAAAATGTAAGCTATTTACAAAAACCTTTGCTTAATTGGGGCATGTTGTTGGCTGTAGAAACTACTGAATGTTATGTTACGTTTCAGTCAATGGCTTAGCAAATTCTTTTTGGTAGAGTAAAAAAATTAAAGTGATTTGATGGTAATTTAAACTTTAAGGGTGAGCCTTGGAGAGAAATTGCAGTTATCAATACAAAATACAGGACTGCAAAAGTAATTTCCAGATTCTAGAGCTCCACAGACATTTAAATGATGGAGTGCTTTAGAAATAAAATGTGTGCGTTTGTAGACTGTGTTGAGGACTTCTGTCAAGCCTTTGTTGATGTGGAAGCACAAGGTTTTTTCTGTTAAATTTTTTGGGTTGCAGGCTGTTTATGGTGAGAAAGGAAATTCAGATTTCAGGATGGAGGTAAAAGTAGTAAAACGGATGCAGATTTTCTCTTTGAGCTCGCTAGGGAGCATGATGTGGGGGGTTATGTTAGAATGCTTCTGATTTAGCCTCTTTCTTTCAGAGGGTTGTCTCCTGCAGAAGCAGAGTTCAATTATCTCAATACAGCACGTACCTTAGAACTTTATGGAGTAGAATTGCACTATGCAAGGGTAAGTTTGGATGAACTAGTATTGTAATATAGAAATGGACTCTTCTGAGCTTTATGGAAAAATAAATATTTATTTTTAGTGAGTCTTCCTGGCTGCTGCTTCCAAAAGGAAAAAAAAGAAAATAATATTATCTTATTAGGTGCCTAATTTACCAATTTCAATAACCACTATTTCACTCTAGTGAACACTTGACTTATTTGGACTTAGTTATACATGTGTTATTCAGGTTGAGCTTGTTGTCCTGAATGCCAGTTCAGTTGGCTACTGGTGAATAAGAAAAATGTGATCGTTGAATGTGCGTTTGATATTTAAGGATCTGTCAGCTTTGAAAAATATTTAATTTCATTCTGATTAGAACCAAATGATAAATCATTATCATTATATATCATGGACTGTTAATGTAAGGTGGGGGGTACTATAATTTGATATAGTGTCAGTTTTATTTGGTAAAGCAAGTAGCTTGAGGTCTTGACTAAAACAATCTTAACCTGTCAGTACAGTGCTACCATTTCTGCAAAGCCTCTGAATATAATTAATTTTAGTAACTAAGACAGCTCTTTTTTAAAAATATTCTTGTCCTACTCCCTAAGGTTAGAGAAACTTGCAATAGAATTTGAAATCTACCCCACTTCACTGCTGTCTGTATCCTGCTGTTGCACACATATCGAGATACCTATAGCAAGTGTTTGATTATAGAACAAAGATATTTCAGAAAAAATGTGCTATTTAAATATGCTTACAATATTGTTTGTTTTAGAATCTCTCCTCTCTGTGTTCTAAGGTTGCAGTTTCTTTTCAGGTAGGAGTTTTAAGTTGCTAGTTGCTTTTAGTGTAGCAAATGTGAAGCCAGTCTATTAGTACTGTTATTTGTAATAAACTGCTAGAATACTCTATATTGTGTATTTGAAGTTGGTGGAAGACAGAAGATCTAACTTAAGAAATTAAAATTCTATAAAGAACTCTGAACAAACATCTTGGCTTGTCCTAAATAGGAATGAATATTTTAATTCTTACTTGTCTTGTTAAAACACATTTCCTTCCATTTTAATTGAGGTATATTTTACTATGGTATTTATGTATTTAGAGAGAGAGAGGAGAATGAATATATATGAGGTTTCAAAGATACTTACATTGTTCTTCAAGTAATTTTCTCTTTTCTTTTAAAGGATCAGAGTAACAATGAAATAATGATTGGAGTGATGTCAGGTGGAATATTAATTTTTAAGAACAGAGTACGAATTAACACCTTTCAGTGGTAAGGACAGCTGTTTAAACTAATGTTTTTGTTTATTTTTATTTTTACCAGTGTCATATGCTTTAAAAGAGGCTGAAACTTAGTTGTAGCATATCAAGTTGAAGTGATTTATCTCATGCTATGCTGTGGGTAATTTTATGATGGGGCTTTTTCCTGTTCTGTGTGCTGTGCTTTTAAATGATTGTGGTGCAAACTATATGAATTTTAACACATTTTTTCTTCAGGAGTTTGAAAGCATACTTTATGTTTAATTAACCACATAGCCAGAGCCTGTGTTATGGTCTAGCTCACAGTCTTTAAAGATACCTGAACTTAAAAACACTAACCTGGAGAGTGATTGCTCTTACCTGTTTTGTCACATATAACTTAATTGCACTCTGTGCATTAAATTAATGTAGGTATGGCAGTTGAGGATAACTGAGGTGGAGCATTCAGGTTATTGTCATCTCTTAATTCACAGATAACCATTTTCATGATAAGGATCAAAAAAGTGCATTTATTGCAGAAAATCCTGTCATTTATTTCTCCCCTTAACTAAAATAGTTTTTAAAGCTGTTCTGTAAACATGAAGTTGTCCTCATTAAATACATTACTCTAGTTTTCAGTCTTAAGTTGGGATCCTGTTCTTATATATTCATAGAAGAAGGGGAAAGATCTAAGAGAAATCCTGTTCTGGACTATATAGTGCTCTAGAGAAGTTATGTCACCTTCCCCAATGCTTTTTTTGGTTCCCTCAGAAGTAACCTTCCCTTGGTTTCCTTTGCCTGCTTGGAATCCACTTTGACAGCCTGCCTTATTACATATGTTGTTGAGCATGCTATAACAGCATTCTGAGTGGGCGAAGGCAGCCATATGAAATAGACACTAGTTTACCAGGCACAAAAGCTGTTTGCTCTAGAAAAATGATGAAAAGTTTTGCATTTTCATTTGCTACTAATGTGTGTGCTTGGGCAATGCAGCACTGGACTTTTCTAAAGTTTTCGACTGGTCTGTCATCTTCATATGAACAGATTAAATTGATTACCACAGTTGAAACTGGAAATTTTTTTCTCTGAATTCAGAGTGTTACAGGCAGTTGAAATCTTTGTGTTTTTGTTGTTCTCTGTTAGCACAGAGTAGGATCTGTTACTTATAATCAGTGACCTGTTTTCATTTAGTAAGTTCCCTTGCAGAAATTGAAAATGTTAATCACTGTCTTGATCTTTCCAGCAACCCAATGAACTTCTGAGACATTCTGGTTTTCTGTGCTAAGCTTAGTCTCAAGTTTTCTTGTAGGACATTATGTATTCTGTGGTTCACCATGTTACGAAACAGCATGGATAGTCAAATTTTAGGTAGATGTTTGGAGAGAAAGAAAAAACAAAGCTATCACCTAAATGTTATCCACAGCCAGGTACAACTGTACATGGTAAACTTTTTGCTTGTAAGCATTCAAAGAAAAGTAAGCCTGAGGCAATTACGGAGCATGTAGATTTTCAGTCTCCATGGTTAGTTGGGTAAAATAAAACAGGATCTTGCAGTGACAAGTCTGGAACTACTGTACTAGTCAGTCAGACCTGCCTTCGTAACAGTGACATGTTCTAAGAAAGATATCCTTCATCTGGTAAGAGTTTTGAAGTGTTAGAACCATTTCTGGGTTAAGGCTGCTTTATAAAATGTAAAGCTGTAATAATCAGAAAGGTTTTAATTTAGGCTGCTTTCACTGCTGTTATTTTTGGGAAAACAGTAATAGTAGAAATAGATTCTATAAAACACACTGGTAAATTACTGAGTATGTACAATGTAAGTCATAATTAAGCTACATGTCCGTACTGGAAGCTAGAGGTTTCTGTGAGCTCTGCTTCCTATAGTTTGCATGCCAGGGATCCTGATCTAAGTTCTTAGTGTGGTTTGTGTGTGTGTAATTACCTAAACAGTTCTTCTTTGTATTCAAGCATATCAGCTGACATTAGGGATATTAATTTCTTCCTGTGAAGACTGTAGTACCAACATAATTGGTCTGTAAACCTCCCCCCACCATTTCATCCAATTATAGGCTTTCTTTTGCTATGAGTAAGGATATGAAATGTCAGTTCTCACAGTATAGCTCAATAGTATACCTATTACCTTTCCTTTTTATCTGTAGTCATGAAGCTGCACCAGTGACACCAGTACTGATACTTTTTCTTCTTACTTCCACTAATTCTTGCTCCTGTGCAACTGGAGCTGTGTAGTGTCTTCCCAGTGCTTTATGGCTACAGTGGGTGTTTAGATATCCAGTACTCCTGAGTTCCAGTACTTTTTCAGTACTCCTGAGCTGAGTTTCAAGACAAATGAGAGGATAGGCATGAATGTATGTGGGAAGAAATAAAGGTTTAGCTGTATTTCTCAGAGAAGAATTAAGTAAAATGGCTTCGCCCTCTCCCTCTTAATTTGATATTATATCTGAATTGCACACGATGAACCTTATCATCATGGGGAGAAATGAAACAGGAGGAAGACAAGGCAGGTATAAGGTAAAACAAAGGAGACCACCTTTTATCCAGTGTGTCCTAACTTGATCTTCCTGTATTGTAGGTAATTCCTCTTCTCCCCAAACTGTGCTACCAGGTGCAGATTTCTGTGAATCCAGGGAGCAGATATTGTCCGTGAAGACCAAAGGAGAAGAGCATGGAGTAGCTCAGCCTTTCTTTTGTTCACCTGTTGAGCAGTGGACACATGCTTTCCTTTGCCTCTCTTTTGCAGTTGATATACCCCTGGAAAGCTTTGTTGTCTTTCACGTCCATTCCCAGTTGCAACTGCATTTGCACTTTAGATTTCCTAGTTTTATCCCTGAACGCCTAGGTAGTACTTCCGTGTTTCTCCTTGGTCATCTGATCCTTCTTCCACATCCTGTAGACTTCCTTTCATGTTTGAGGTCAATCAGCAGTTCTGAGTTCATCCAAGTTGGCCTCCTCCCATGCTTGCATTTTTCCTACCACATCAGGATTGTTCTGGTTTAAGAAGATTGTCCTTTGTGATTGTTCACCTCTCCTCAGTTCCTGTGCCCCAAAAGGCATCTTCCAAGGGATTTTTGCCTACCAGAGCTCTGATCAAGCTGGAGTTTCTTCTAAATTCCAAGGTGGTTTAGGAAAGAAAAGAGAAATGGGAAAAGATTTAAATAAGCATAATTTAAAGGCTAATATTCACAAACTTCCTTTGTGTTATTGGAGATAGAAACTCTTTCAATAAATTAGGACATCCAAGTTAGGTTCCTTCTCTGAATAATCCCCTGGAGAAAACTGTCTCCATTTGATTTGGTTAAGATGATAATTTCTATATATAGATATCCAACTTAGGTGTCTGTTAATGTTTTGCTTCTCATCCTTCCTAGTCTAGAGGGCTTTTTATTCAACAAGGTGATTAATATTCAAGTAGTAATTCTAGTCACTCTTGAGGTCCCTGTATATTCTTCATGAATAAACATCTCAAAAATTGTAGCACTATCTTCACTGACTATTTAGTTGTTTTGGGTTTTTTTTAGTTTGGGTTTGGGGTTTTTTTGGTGGGTTTTTTTAATCTTTCTTTTGTAACTTTACCAAGCCTGTATAATATGCTGAAGTACAGGGACCATCAGAGATGATAGTTCAGATTAGTAAAGGTGCTCTGTATAAACATGCTGTGTAAAAGGTTGATTGTAACCTCGAGTTTGCTGTGTAATTTCCCATGAATTAACTGCATGATCTAGATTCCCTTTTGCTTTGTGTTTCATGACAGTTGGCAGCGAAATGTCCTTTGAGTGAGATAGCATTTGAATTTAATGTTCTACAGTTTGCAATATCTTACCATTTGTTAATTTTCAGTCATGGAAGTTACTATGTTTTTTCTTGTTAGAATTGTAATCTTGCTTTTATTGCTGACCAAAATAGTATTCCTCTATTTAATAAAGGATGCACACTATCCTAATATTGCATTTCTCTGAAAAAGTATATGCTTAGATTGTGATGGAAACGTGGCCTGTCTTTTCTCCTTTAGCATAACTAGCATTGCAGTGACCATCCAAAATTGTCTAGAATTACTGTCAGCATCTCCTATGTTTATAGATAACCTCTAAGACAAAAAGATCTGTAGCCTGATTTTTCCCCGTTGTGATATTTTAAACCTTTCTTCCACCTCATAGCATGATGGGTTTTTTGTTTTGTTTTTTACCTTTATAAATACCAATATCTCAAGACCTTATCTCCATGCTTATATCTTGTCTTAGATATTGTACTAAACCAAGTTTTGGTTATATTTAAAGAGATTTAAGAACATAGAGAAAGAATGTCTTTCAGGAATCAGGTGAAGTTCAAAGTATTCATATTCTAAGGGATAATGAAAGTGGTATCAGAAAAGCGAATGTCTGGTTGGAATGACCTGGGGATAGAATATCTCTTTGGACTTTGGGACTGTGAAAGGTACTTAAATTAGCAACTGCCTTGGGTTTAGGATAGAAATAAGTGAATTTGATCGATAACATAAATATATGGTGCAAATTTCAAATTATACAAGCTATTTTATATAAATCTTTGATATCCTAGTTTTTTGTCTATGGAAGTTTAATGGAAATCTGTTCTCTCTAGGAAGTATACTTTCAGTAGGTTGTACTTAAGCCTTTATCCATAATTTAGTATACTAAGTGTTTACATATTGTGATTTTATTTTTCATTTAGGTTGAAGATTGTAAAAATTTCTTTTAAGTGCAAACAGTTTTTTATTCAACTTAGGAAAGAATTGGTGAGTACTGTCTTAAATTTCATCTCAAAAATATGAGAGCAATGAAATTTCTCTATACTGCATGTCTGCGTTATACTCACTGATACTATGTTGATTCTTGCATTTATCTGCATTTGAAAGTCCAGTTTCACCAACATTCTGGATATTTCAGTGCTCAGATGGGCCATTACAATGCTTTATAAGACTTCTTTTCATTTGATCTGCCTTATTTTAGACATTTAGTTGGATATTTGTATGCAGGATATGTAACTTAAGCTTATAGAAGATGAATGTTGAAGAAGTTGAAAGTAAATCTATTTAATTTGGTTTCTTCTGAAATTTAAATTTAAACTAAAGGCAATGCTTAATGGTGCTTCAGTTGTATATGTGCTTGTAAATAAATGTTTGATTAAAACATGCTGATTTGTATTATTCAGATATAGTAATACAAGTTGGCTTTATTACTTGCATTTAAACAGAAGTGATAAGAATGTATTTGCAGTTTTAAATTACATATGGTAATTTTTTACACTTACTTCTAAATTTGTTTGGGAAAAAGTTAAAGCTTTCTGTGGGGAATGTGTATGTTTCACTGCTTGTGGTGTGTATTTGCTACCCTGTGAAGCACCACAGGACCATGGCACCTTTAATTCAACAAGAAGTGGTTTGTTCCACGCCTCCAAGAGATTAAGTCTAAAACCATCACAGACGTATCACTGGGGAAAGATGGAGGAATTAATTAAAAATATGACTATGTGATTAACTCATCAGATTAGTTAAAAGATTTTTTGCAGTTCTTACAGCTGAAAGGATTTAAAGGCCTGCAATGCAAAGTTATTGACTAGATAAAGATGGATTCAAGGTAGATGTGCATCCTGAGTACTATAGGACTAGTTCCAGATTTAGAGACAATATGATTAAACATGAAAAATATAAGGAGGAGACACCAGGTACTTTATATCAGGCCCCAGTGTCTGGTGACCACTACTAGCACTGAAAACAGGAGTCAAACTGTGTATCTTAAAGGCTTATACCTTTAAAATGGGGCCCAGGAGTTTGTAGTTTTCACAAACGGAACTACCTGACCCCATGCAGGAGAAGTTTAACGCGTGTGCTCAGAGCAGCGTGGGTAGCTATCAGTTCAGAAGTAGGAGAAGAGGAGTTAGAGGATTTTGGAGTAATTATGTGTAGAAAGAAGTTAATTTTGGCTATTACATGAAATAAACAGGAGAATCTGTCAATGTGAGCAGACATCATGCAATGTGAGCAGAAAAATGGTAATGATATAAAAAAAGGGCAGGGGGGAATATTTTATTATGGTGATACAGGTATTTCTTAATAGCCTGCAGGCGTTAAAGGCTAGTTCTCAAAGGCAAACTGATCTCTGACAGCCCAGATGTCAAGTTTTGTCTTGATACCTGTGTGTGTATCTTTCATTACAGTTGCAGGTATGTTGTATTTAGATCTGAGATGAGAGTTTGGGGTTTTATTTGGGATTCAGAAATTATAATCTGCAGTTGTTTTCTAAATCAGAGCTTGAGAAAAGGCTGTAGTAGCAGAGTTCAGGACCTTGAAAACTGAGATACCTAGATAGAAAATTGGATTGGGTACTGCACTTGAATGTTTTATCTGTTTTCTCCAGAAAAATAATCTGCATGTAGTTGAAGGTAGTCTAAAGATAGCTTTCTCATCTTGTTTTTTTTTTCTGTTGCTTTTTAATACTCTGCAGAATGTAGTATATGTAACTAGTGTAATTTCTCTTCTGAGACATCTTATCCAAGCCAACAAGTTAAAAAGCCTCATACTGTTTTTCTTTATATGTATCAGATGAAAACTGATGTCAAGAACTTAATTTTCATTCATTCCAAGTCATGAATATCTCAAGATCAAAGCTCAAATTTGGCTTCCAAAGAAGGCATACCTAAACTAATTTTTTAATCAAACCTAATATTAAAATCGTTATTTCCAGAGTTACTTTCCCTGAGTAGACATGTATGATAAGACTCATCTCACCTATATTCAGCTTCAGTTAGGTTAAAAGAACATATTTTCTTTCATGATAATTAGCTAACCAAAGCTAATCATTAGACTTCCTTTATAGTAACCAGACCCATGCATGAATTGGAAGTAGGTTTTAGGATGGATTAAGTTGCTCTCTGGTGGTATATGCTTACTTTTGCTTTCACTCCCATCGACAATGAAGGGAGCCTAAATGGCTCTTTTTAGGCAGCAGAAACTCGGTGAAGTGACTCAGTGATTGCACATTTGGTATGTAAAATATCTCTGGTCTAGTGCTTTGAGTGTATGTTTAGAAGCACCGATTTATGATATGGCAGTGAAAATACATTCATGATATGCTGATGATGTGTTTCGAAGTTGTGTGTAAATACAAAACAAATTGTACAGCTGAGTAACCATATTTATTCGAATGCAAAGCTGAGATGCTATAGGATATTAAATTAATGGACTTGGGAGAGGAATTTTCCAGTGGTTTTATTTTTTTCCAAACTGGGCTACATATGCTTTTAAGTAGTCCTAAACAGATACTTTTCAAATACTGCTAATGAGTGTTGAGACCTTTTAATTGCAACTGTCCTCAAAAGTGTAAGTGCCTTATCTTTTAATCATCTATTAAATTTATTCCCTGACTAGAGGCATCAACATAAGTAAAGAATTATTTGCCTACTTTTAATAGATTATATCTGTGTTTAAATAAATCACTTGGAGGAAGTCAAATGAAGCAATGGAAGCTGGTTGTGTATCCTGACAATTATATAGCCAGAACACACATCGACTGGAGTAGATTTTCTTTCCCATTGTTTCTTTATGGTATTGAGGTGGGGAAAGAACATTATGTGTATGACTTCTTCATCCAGCATTAGGTGCCTTCTGAGCCATAACTGCAATGGCAGTTTTTTTCACTGTATTTTTGTTTATTCTGCCAGTTCTGTATGCTGCTTCCATTTACATGCTTTGAAGCTGTTTGAGAATAAGTCAGTAGTTTCACTTTTCTAGATATTTCCCTAAGCTTCTCTGCGTTTAGTTAGTTGCACCCTTGGCTGTTGTAAAGTCAGTAGTCAACATCAAACTTACTGCTGTCCAGCATACTTCAGTGGTCTTGATTCTGTGAGAGCCAGATAAGCTGTTCAGCATGTTCTTTTGCTCTTTCAGAGACCAGATGTCTACTGAAAAAGTTACTTCAGTCTCTAACAAAACAATATCATAGGTTTTGTCCATAACCAAGACCTAGTTACAGTGAGTGGCCAAATTTTTTTTTTTTTTTTTTTTTTTAATTATAGATCATGTATTTGAAGTTTGTACTTTGAAATTTTTCTTCTTACTGACTTTTTGAAAGAACTTGGGCTAGAATCACAAGGTGATATATGGACTTATTCGACCAAGTGCATACTTGTTCTTACGCAACTCTGGCATTCATTAGATGCCTGATGCCTGTCTGATTGTTGCCGAAGACTAAAAAAGTTTTTGCTATTGGGCTTATGCATGAAAAGCCAATACTGTTGGCACAATCTGTGTGGCACTTAAGCTTCCACAGGACTTTTGCCCACTAATCAGGGAATATCTTGAGTCTCTGGAGCATCTGCCACTTATGAAGTGCATGTCTCTTTGTGTCTCTCAGAGATGGGGGTAGGGAATTTTTGCTGTGTTCTGGGATTATTTTTGTTTGTTTGTTAAGGCAAAGTGAGAGAGACCCACTAGAAAATACGTTTTTCAACCCAATTTCTCTCCTGAGCGGTGAGACATCTGCTCTGAAGTGCCTGTTTCAAATCAGGCAAAGGTGGGTTTGAATGAGTGTCCCCACCCAAGGTGAATGTTCAAGAGCTGAGCTGTTGTATGTGAGAGGGGCACCAATAACAATAACCATTCTGCTTTGTTGTTTGGGGATTTTTTTTCCCCCTTTTAATAAAAGGAACCACAAACATTACTTAGACTTTACTTGCCCCATCCCTTCAGTGTTTCTTGGATTCTATAGGTAGTCTGCTGTGTGGGGTACATTTGTAAGGTTATGATTTAAATAAACTTACATGGTGGTATTTAGCTTACCTGTAGTTTCATGCTTGGGTCCTGAGCCTCAGCACTGATACTGCATTCCAGCTGCTTCATGCTTCCCCCAGCAAGCAGACTGTTTTCTCTAAAAGGAACCATGGACACAATTAGTAAGATAGTAATTTTCAGAGCAGAATCCAACTGTGATTCCCTGAGGTAGTGTTCTAACACTGTCTCAACAGATGTAAAACTCTGAAATACCTGTATGTCATTGTCATACCATGGAGCATTCAGCATCTTCCTGGATCATTGTGCTATAAAAACATTCTCGTAGTCTGCAGTATAACCATGCTGTTATTTTATGTGCTTTTGGTTAAGTACCATGGACATTATAAATGTTGCTTACGCTGAGCCCACACTGGTTCAAAGTTAGTATTTTCAGGGAAAACGGGGGCAATCTTATTCTAAATCCAGCTACCAGACAGCAGTAGAACCAGGGCTTTGCACCCCAGAATCATCAGCAAAGATGAATTTCAAGCGCCTATCTTACATTTGGATATTACAGAACCTGCAAGGGTGGATAGGGAAAGGACGGCTGCACTTTGGAGCAAATATCTTGTACTCTTCTTTACCTTAAAGATTGATTCTTATCTGAAATTGAGATGAAAGGCAGGGTTTTAGAATCAGTTCTCTCTGCGCTGCAATGAAAGCCTTAAAACTATGAATAGAACTATTGTTAAGGTACCTTTAAAGCTCTAACACACTAAATTCCTGTGAAAGTGCTGTTTCGCATTACAATTAAGCTGATCTAGCTGCAGCTCCTCATCATGCGATACCAGCTCCTCCTTCATGCTTCATGCCTGATCTAGTGATCAGATTGTGGCATGAGAATCAGATCAGCTCGTTCTCTGGAATACAAACTAGAGGAAACAGCAGGATTTTTTTTTTCCCTCCACAACCTGTAATTATAATGCTTTGAATGACATGAAAATGCATGATCATCAGCTCATATAACTTGTCAAATTTTCCAACAGTGTAAAAGGCTGACAGCATTAAAATTTGCTACACTGTGAGAACTTTTTGTTGGAATCTAAAATCTTTGCTGGTTTGTCCTTTACTTCATCCGAATGAGGCAGTCTATAATTTTACATGGCTGCTCTCTTGCAGAATAGTAATGTATCTTGTTTATGTTATTGTACATTAACATTGTTGATAAAGCCTTTTTTAACTGAATAGATAATGGACTTAATTTCTGTTACCTTGTTTGTGACTTAATTTTTGAGTACTTCTGTGAACATGTCTAGAAAATACAGGGAACAGTTGGCAATACTTGGAAATTAAGAAAAGAGATAAAAGTATCTTTTGTAAATTCAAGTAAAATACCAGGGTTTTGTTTCTTGCATATAATTTCATGAACTTCAACAACAGATATCCCAAATTTGCTGGTTACTTCTTAAACCCATTTTATTCTTTATCCTAAATTCATCGTGTGGCTGAAAATACAGTGTCATTCTTAGCCATTAGTCACAAGGACTTCCCAAATACAACACTGGGAGAAGAGTTGTAGGTCTATTTATGCCCTGTATCTCAGCAAATCTAAAGATGAGCAGGCCAGCAAAAGCTTAACTTCAAAAAGGAGTTTACTGCTAACTGAGAACAGTTAAGGTGTGCTAAATGTTGTGAAGAATTTAGTGCTGGGAAGAGAAGACAGAGTCCTGATGATGTTTTCTGACCTACAAAGGTTGTAATCAAGCTCCCTCAACAGGCAGAATAGCTTAGCTTGCTTCACAATTTTGCTTTGTTCCTTTACCAGGAACCAACTTAATCATTTAGAAGTAGGCACATCAGTTGCTCTTCAGATTAATACCGGTTCCCAATCTCTAATTGGCATGTGTGCGTGACAACTCCTTGTCTTAACTCGAGAAACTACGAGGCATGTTGTCTCTGAGTTCTTGAGTCACAGAAATTTTTTCATGTAGTTTGTGTCCTACCTTTTGGGACTATTTCTTCCCATCTAGACTTGTTTCAATATCACTAAACAGACTTAACTGTTGACCAGGCTTTTTTTTTTTTATTATTTAAAAAAAAAACCCACCTTTAAAGAAAATGTAGAGGTATTTTTAAAGGGTTTTTAATACATGAAGTTGAGAACCACTTCAAAAAGCATAATTAAAAAACCAACAACAACCCAAAACTAACAGTATTCATCTTAATTTCAGAAGTAACTGGGAATAATTTTTATCTGAAATAAATTTTTCTCATTTTTAGCATGAAACTAGAGAAACATTACTGGGATTCAATATGGTGAATTACCGAGCATGTAAGAATTTATGGAAAGCTTGTGTTGAACATCACACTTTCTTCCGTTTGGACAGACCGCTTCCCCCTCAGAAGAACTTTTTTGCACATTATTTCACTTTGGGTTCCAAGTTCCGGTACTGGTAAGTGCTGATTTGAAATACATGGGAAAGAACATAAGAGAACAAACAACTCATCAACAACATAGCGAATTATTTAGAATCTATATCAAAAGGTGTCATAATTCAAGTAGCTTTTGAATCCTGCAACTGTTTCCCTCTCTTGTTGGCCTAAGTTTCAAGTGTTGTCAGTAATTTTCTAGGATAGCTTGGAAATATAATTATAGTATTATTAGTGGCTGTTATTGAGCTAATACTCTGAGATTGTCTCACAGACTGCATTTCTTTGCCTGCTTACCTGCTGGGTTATGTTTATCTTAAAATGTTGTCTCAGAACTTCAAAGTCTTTGACCTGCTATTTTGGAAAACTGATGGATCTCAGATCTTGTGTGCAGCAACAGCAACAAAACAGACCTAAATAAAGATCATATAGAAATCAATGAAAAGAAGGTTGTACAAGTAAAGCCCACTTAAGCTAGATGCATACAAATAGGAACTAGGTGAAGACAAAAGACATACATGTTCTGCACCAAAACCAGTGGTTTAGAAAATGAGGACGAAATTAAGTCCATAAACTTTAAGGATGAACTTAATGTAATAGACAAAAAGCTTGGAGGTGCAAAAAATGACTATGGAATAACTATAAACCCCAAGTATAATTTCTATTCTAACGATGGCGTGGGTAGTGTTGGTTTTTAGTGTTTTATGCTTTCTATAAAAAAAAAAAAAAAAAATCTCAGTTCAGTAACTCAGTTAACTGTCTCTGCAAGTAATGCAAAATGCTGATGGTTTCAATTCTGCCTGAAGTAAGGAATAATGGAGCTACTAATAATCATCTGCCTAGAATGGCAACAGTGTCTGTGACGTACAAGGAGAGATGATGAAAAGCTAGAAAACACAGTAACAGACTGTTTCTGTTACACTTGTGAATTGCATAAATGTATAAAGAGGAAAGTAATTCACTGGCTAAATTCTTATGCCATCTGGTTTTCTGACCAGCATTCACAGCCCCCATTTGAGAAACAGCATTCTGCGATCCTGAACAGTGTTTGAGACTTGGTTCAATGTTGCTGTAGTGAATTTGGGGGAGCTTTTTCATTTCTGTAAAGATTTTGAATTTGAATCGTTGTGGTTACTATTGCAGAATAGCTCTTTGATGATGACATTCAACTTATGTTAATGTAAGATGAAAAGGGAAACTGCATAAAAATGAAGAAGGTCATTAAAGTTAATGAAGCAGCCAAAAGGCCAGAATTTCTGCAAGTAGCTTGAGAGATTGTTTAACGGCAGCCCAATAGTAGTAACATGGCGCACAAGGAGAGGTTAAGGGCACTGGGCTTGTTTAATCTGGTGAAGGAGTAAGCTAAGGGGAAATTTAGTGGCAAGCCTAAGGCTACTTCAAGGGCAGTGTCAGAAATGGAGTCAAACTTGGACTGGTAATGGCAGGTGATAGAACAGGGGGCAACAGCCACAAATTTCACCTTGAAGATTCTAGCTGGACATTAAGAAAAATTTTTGGTTTGGTTTCTTTTTTTCTAGGAGGACAGTGCATTACTGGAGCAAGTTACCCAGAGAGGTTGTGGGATCTCTATTTTTGGAGCCTTTCAAAACTTGGCTAGACAAAGCCATGGCCAGACATGACCTAGTGTTAGCAAGAGACTGGACTAGAGACTTCTAACCAACATTTCTATTATTAAAATGAACTAATAAAATACTAAACTCCCAGGGCTAGACAAAATTATCTCCAGTTTTGAAAGAAATCAGACACACGAAATTGTTGAACTATTAAATATGTTACATAATCTATTTCCATTGGACTAAAAGATTCTAATGCAGCAAATTTTAAAGCAAGTTTTTTTTGTTTTAATTAAAAAACCAAAAAGCTTCCAGGAGGGATCAAGAAGACCACCGATGAGAAAATCTGACTTCTGTATACTGTCCTTGGATTTTCAAAGTGGTTCTAAGAGTATTCCTCATCAAATACTAATTAAAGAAGTTAAACTGCCAAAACGTGAAGACTTTTATTGTATATTAGCAACTGTTTTAACCAGATAGGAGACAAGTAGGTCCCTTCTTCACAATGAAGGGAAGTTACCACTGAAGTGATACAGGTTTTTATAGTAAAAGCTGAAGCTGACTGTAGAAAGTTTCGGTGGTATGTTCCAAGGAGGGGTGAATAGACAATAAAATAGTAGATCAAGTTCAGAGCCCAAAAATGCAAAATAATCTACACAGTAAAAAAGCCTTTCCTGTTTTGAGGGGTGGTGGTTGTTGTTGTTTCCATGCCCCCCCACCCCCCTTCTGTTTAAGTAGGATATCTCATATTTCAGTTTGTGCCCGTTACCTCGTCTCTGTTTTTTGGTGTGTTTTTTTTTTTTTTTACTTTCCTCTTCAGGCATTTATACTCACTCATTTGATCCCCCTGAGCTTTCTCTTCCTGAGGTTGAACAGTCCCAGCTCTCAGCCTCTTCTCATACATGAGATGCTCCAGACCCTTAATTGTCTTTGCAGCCTTTGCTCCAGACCCTTAATTGTCTTTGCAGCCTTTGCTCCAGACCCTTAATTGTCTTTGCAGCCTTTGCTTGACTGGAGGGACCCTGGGACTCAACACAGCACTCAAGATGTGGTCTCACCTGTGTTTAGTAAACCTGCTTTCTAGAAAGCCAATTGGCACTCAGCCTGCGCATGGGGTTGTTCCTACCCAGGTGCAGGTCTGCATTTCCCTGTGCTGAATTTTCTGAGATTCCAGTTGGCCCATTTCTGCAGCCTTCACACATCCAGTATTTCTGTAATATGAATGTGAAAATAGCTAATTATTCTTTGATTTCATAGTGTAAACGTCCCTGTAAAGGACAGAAAAGAGCAGAGTTGTAACTATCAGTATCCTTCTAGGACATGTATCGTCTCTGTGCCTTGGTCTGAAGTTACAAATAGGGAAGTGGCTGCAAGAGGGAGTTTTGCTGGTATCTTGCCACCAATTCTTAACTGCTGATAGACACTCCAAAAAAGTTGGGTTTTTTTTCTAAAACAAATTATGAAATATTATAAAGGATCTTTGATTTGACACAAGACATCTGGTCTTATATGAAAAGTCATCAAGTTCGAAGATGTAATATTAGTTTTGACAAGTTGCTTAAAAAATACTATCCTGATGTGCGTATCTGATTTCTTCATGATATTTTGCTGAACTGAGTAGCAACTAAGTTATTAGCAATTCAGCGAATACTTTTGGAAAAGTACGGAGGAGATGACGTACCTTTTGTGGCTTTAACAGAAAATATTATAGTGTTAAGCGTTATCCAAAGATCCAAGCAGAACTTTCTTATTGCTTTGCATAAGAGGAAAAAGGAAGAGAAAGCTTTATGTTATGCCTAAAATGAATTGGTCTTTGCTGCTGTTAGACTGTAATGGGCAAGAAGACCTACAGTTCTACCACATGCTTTCTAAAGTTACACTGTACTGAAGCTAGCCCAATTGCTTGAGCATGACTGAAAATAGAATTTAGGTGTGGGTTTTTTGAGATAGTTCAATTTTAAGCAAGAAATTGTTATCCTAAGTTTGTTGCATTTAGTGATGTGGCTTGGTTTTGTTTTCCAGTGGGAGAACAGAGGTCCAGTCTGTGCAATATGGTAAAGAAAGAGCAAACAAAGACAGGGTATTTGCAAGGTAAGCAACTGACATTTGTACAAAATCAGAAAGTCTTCTTCTTGTATCTTTTGAGATGCTATGGGGTCATTGTTTTCTGTTCTCAAAAATGTAAAATAAAGAGCAACTGTTGTTGACTGTTGCTGGTGGCTTGACTTAATCATATTTAAAAGTTTAATTTTGGTATGCGAGAGTCTTTCTTTGGGTCAGCTAGAAATGGGGAGCATTTTACGGTGGAAAAATTAATAAGAATATTCTTTAATATTCCTCTCTTTATATATTTTCAAAATTCCAAACAGCCTTCAGTATGCATAGTTTGTCGTAACATGTACTAGCCCTCTTTGTGCTGTCTTTATTGCAAAGAATGGTCTAACTTCCATTAAAATATTGAGTCAATGGGTGTGTTTTATCCCTGATAACAACCTACAACTGTACACACATATTTCCTTCAGAATAAGGTACTGAGAGTGTCTGTCTTGGTGAGAACAGCTTTATCACTATAGTCCCAATGAGTATTCTGCTATGAAGAATGTGATTGGGAGTGAGCTGCTTCTGAAGGTATTCTGTCACAGAGCAGTTGGCTAATCATAGAATCTATTACTTAATTTTGTTTCAGACTCCTGAGGGCTTTAGTGATTACAAGAAAACAGTCAAGATACAGAGTTAGTTCTTCATTTAGAAATTATGATACAGTATTTAAAAGTAAAACTGCTGCTGCTGCATCCGTTTGGCAGTCTGCTCTGATCATTAATAGAAATAGAAAGAATCCTTATGGGGAGGTAGCATGCTCTGGTTTTTTATGCCTATACTTTCACTGAGATGAGGAATGTCTTTTAGCATAGTTACCCCTGAAGGAACTCTGGAGTTCAAATTTATGCTCACAGACTTAGAGTAACAAGCCCAACAACCTTTCTCAAGTGCCTGCAAACACTGTTTTTCACAGCATTGGTGAATACTGCCTTGATTTCCTGCTCCTGCCCCTTCTGTCCCCCTGTGTAATATAATGTGAGGTTTTAGCTGGGCACACCATAAATACCCAGCTCCGTATTAGAATGATTTGGGGGCAGAAGTGCTAGGACATGTTTGTTCGACAGGTAGATTTTATAAGACCCATTTGTTCTGTGTGCTGTAGAATTATTTTTTTACTTTATTTAATTTACTTTGAGAGTCTGGTTAGATTTTTACTTGGGGCAACTTTTTTAGACTCAGAAGACTTAACATTGTGACAAGTGAATTTTATTTATTTAAATGACAGTTATGAATCAGTTAAAAACTATTTTTCTTGTTGCACTCTGAACTTGGCAATTCCACACAAGTAGATTGGAGGAGAGGTGATACTTGGTTTTGAGGAGTATGTTTATTGTTTTAGAAACTGTTATTCAGTAGATGGCACTCTTCCCTTTGCATTAAAACTGCACAAGTGTTGCTGGGGTCACTTATATTTTGTAATACATGTTCTGGATGAAATTGAAAGCCATGACTAGAACAGCTCTGATGCGTTCTCAAGTCTTTTGTGTTTTTTTTAATTAATAATGTACTTGGCTCTTCTGTCTTCAGTAATTTTGTCTTCCACTGTTGCTTTTAGATTAAGGAATGCAACATTCATCCTCACCTTTTGAGTTGTTTAGCAGTGTTGATGATTGATAAATGTCTGAGGCATATATGCATGTGTCAGTGAATTGAAATTAATGGCATATTGTAACAAATACACCTCTGAAGTCTTTAAATTGTCTGTTTCTTCATCCTCACCATCAGAGTGTGCAATTAATGCATTTTCAATTTTAAAGACTATTAATATTTTATATTTCAAGTTTTGTCACCCTTGAAGACACTTCTAGTACATCATGTGGTTCAGGAAGCTTAATCTAAGAACTTTATCTTTAATTCTTTGTTTTCTCAACATTTACATTTCAAGTGGAAATATTGAGTAGCTGCTAGCCCTTTTGTATTCATACAGAGGATAAATATTGTTTTTTAAGGTTTTACGGGTCTAAGTGGTTTTTATTCCTGGAACCTGCCTTTCTCTTTATCAGTGTGTCTTTTTCAGACAAAGTTATCGTGTTGTTAAGCATCCTTTTAAGGTGTCCAGCAGTGAGCTTGTTTTGATTGCTTTTGAAAGTTCTGCTACGTATTGGTTGTGTTTTGATGTGAAACCAGGAGCATGCTAGCATTACAGTCTGGTCTGTCTTGAGAATTAAGTCAACACATTAAAAAAATTTAAATAATTACTGTTGCTTTCATTATTGCCACATCAGGTAACAATACTGAAGATCAGTTAAAAAAGTTTTCAGGGTTTTTGGTTTTGTTTTTTTTTAGAGCTATACAAATTTACACTCTGTTCTTTTATCAATATCTAACTAGAAACCGGCTTATTTGAACTAACACTGTCAAAGCAAACTTTTGAATTATTTCATTGTAAGAAAATGAATTGATAGTTACATTGAGATGTCATTTGAGTGATCTATTTGTTCTAAGTTGGGAGATGGTGATTGCCACAAGTAATGATCATCTAGCCTTTGCACACTGAATGGAACATAGATACAGAGCAGAGACATGGAAATAATATTTCTTAACAGGCATTTGAATAAAACCAGCAGTTATTTATAAGCTACAATTAGCAGACTTAGCTGTTTGTCCTCGGGATTTTACTTTAAAATTAGCTGAAGTAGTATTAAAGGATAATTTTTTTTTCCAAATCATAAAAACCATTTAGAATTAATTTTAAAAAATGGAATTTAACACTGTGAGGGAGGTAGTCTGTAATAAATTTGACACATTTTGTAGATGGTGTAGTCTTGATGCAGCATTTAAAAGACTGTTGCTGCAGTTATTTAGATTTTTATTTTATTTTTTCATCTTTGTTACAGCTCTTCTCTTGTCCTCATTGTTGCAGAATATTCACAACCCAAGAAAACCCATAAGATTTCCCAGGAGCATAATAAAAAGTGAAAGTAGATAATAAAAGTGAAAAAAGTTCGTTCAAGTTATGACTTGAGAGATTTCTTAAAGAGCACTGTTATCTCTTAGAGGTCTTGCAAAACACTGTCATTCCGTTCGGTTCTGATGGTGTGTACTGGAGCTGAGAGAAGGTAGTTTATGCACATTGTATGACAGTGAGTGGGGGTGTCAGCCATTTATATTTACAGACTCCGTATCATTAAGTTGCAATCTCTGTTTCAAAAAATCCAATCGTGCTTCAACCATGCATTTGTTCAGGTTAATTAAATAATTAATTCCTCAGTTGCTTTAAATTGCGTGTGTCATTTGTGGTGTATCTGCAGATTTGTATATCGTTTCAGTCCTTTGGTCTGAAGCAGTAGTTGCCACTTTTGCTCGGAAACACATTCCCTGTATTCCTTGTCAAAATACAAAGTAAGGCTGTGGCTCTAGGTTATATTTCTTTTTGGAACAGAAGCGATTTAAAAGATTCCCACCTGTATTAGCAAACAATACCTCCTTTCTTCCCTAGCTTATGTGAGAATTTAGCACTTCAGCTGTATTGGATGCAAAACAAATTCTGTCTTTGAAAGCTTTTGTGTACTGTAGCTGAGCTAATATAATTTGTCATGCTTTTTTGTTGCATTATGTAATTTCATGCCTGCTACTGGGTTTTTTTTGTATTTCATATAGTATCACAGCTTATAAGACTGTTCATGATTTTGGAGGCAGGTAAAGTTTTTGGTATCTGTCCCTACATAGATAGGATAACTTCTAACTTTTTTAGGAATGTCTTCACAGATAAACCAAAAATTAAAGCTAAAAATAGTTCACTCTGTTAACTATCAGTGCCCTGTACTGGGGTGCAATAGAAGCATCCAGACTGAGCAGACAAACGTGGAATTTAGCATTTCAAAGTCTATCAAAACATTTCAAAAGTTTTTTACAGCTTGTTTTCCCCCTCCCATCTCCTCAGCAGCATTCTGGCATGAGAAAATTATTTGAATATTGTAAGCAATTAGTGATACAGGAGAAATTTGCAGGAATATTTCATAACATAAGTGTTATTTTTTGTTAATTTATTGTTAGATTTAGAAGTGATGGCAGGAGAACTAGTATCAAAAAGCCACAGCAGTAAGAAGTTTGGTGCTGCAATGTGGTAATTTTTTCTTTGAAATTTCTGCAAAGACAGGAAATGAAGGCAACAAACATGAGTGGGTGGGACTCTGAGGTTAGAGCTGTTAATAAAATAATTGAAACAAACCTTTGCTGATAAATGCTGCAGCTATCATGGTAGTAAGATATTATTTCTGAAAGATCAGGCCCTACCCACAGCAAAAGGTGAGTTTTCTTAACAATTGATATTTTTTTTTGATAGCGAAGAAGGTGATGCTTTTCTCATTTTAAAGTTTTGTTCATTTGTTGCATAGATTGAGGAAGTGTTCAAAAATGTAGTTACAAACTGGGTGACTTAAGATATAATGCAGCGGGGTTTCTTTGAAACAGTCAAAAATGTAATTTTTGGAAGAATTTTCCCCCCTGCCTAGAAACTTTTGTTTCTTTCTTTGTAATTTATTTTGTTTTATACAGGCAAGGATAGTGCACTTTCACTGTTGTTGCACTTTAAAAAAAAAAAAAAAAATCCACAACTTTCCTATATTCCACTTGTTGCTTTTTCACTGAAGGTAAATAAGGTTCAATAGTTGCCTTTACATGTCTGTTAGAAAATACTATATCTGCAGTCCTGTATTTACCTAATTTAGCATTGATCATATTACGTTCCTCTGCATTTTTCCCTCAGCCCATTCTATGGTTAGTAGCATCCACCTCTTGGCAGAGCTGGCTCTTGCTGCTAATCTGCTGACTGCAAGCATGCTGCCAGCAAAGTCTAGCTAATGATAGCTTTGATTAATAAAAGAATAATGAACGGATAACATTAGACATGCATTTCAGTTCTGCCAGTTTCTTATTATTTTACCTGTTCAGAACTGCTCAAATTTGCTGTTTGTGAAGTAAAACATCTAAGTGATTTGAGTTGCTCACATATGCAGCAAATTACAGAAATTTAAATGTTGGCTTGATTGACATATCAAGCTAATTATTTTTAAAATCAAATAAATACTGCTTAAATACAGTGAAGCATGCTAATAAACCTGATGTGTTTTTTCTCAGGAACTAAATAATTGATATTTTCCCTGTTCTCAAGTATCAACATACTATTAGATTTTTTTCCCAGGTGGAATAAGACCTGAAACAGTAGTATTTAGAATAGCCCATCTCACTTAACTGTTTGAAATTTGTCACTGGTTGTTCAGTAAGTCTTTAGAGCAGCAAAGTATCATGAACACATGTTCAGAACTGCTTGGGGATGTAAAAAGAAAAATAAACCCTCCACACACAGATCACCACTCCTCTAGTCTCAAACAAACATCAACAGAACTTACGTATTTCTGCCTGTGAAGATAGATTATCTGATATGACAGTTGATTACTGTTGTAGATTTTTTTCATAAATTTGAGGACAGTCTGCTTAAGGTTGTGGCTTGTGTTGAGAAGCAAAAATATATTGTTAACTAAGGTTCTCATTTTCGAAGGACATAATTTGTGTGAAGATAGTTCCTTAATTTCTCAAAGTTCCTCCTTTCTGGACTTGCATTTCCAGTAAATCAGTAAGGTGATAGTGATGAAGATAAATAACAGTTATCATGTGTCCCAAGGACAGCAAAGGAAGAAGTTATTTTGCAATATTGGTGTATGGAGCTGGGGAAAGAAATGAAGGAGTTATGTTGATAGAATTATATGGTGTCACCTCATTGTGCAGGGCCAGAGAGTAAAGAAGAGTAAAATGATAGAGTATAAATGTAAATGAGAATGCAATGAGCACGGCACAAAAGACTGATGAAATTGAGGTATCACTGGAACAAGAGAGGCTCTGGGGAATGATAGAGAGAAATTTCAGCTATATAGTACTGTCAAAATAGTTGAAGTGAAAATGCAGCAACACAAAATACACAGGACATTTAAGGATTGTTTAAAAAATTTTTGTTGTTGGCTAAAGAATTTTCAGTTGAAAACAACAAACAGTAAAAGTCTGGGTATGTTTAGCTGCAGGATGATGACTGTCCAATGTTACACTAAGAAAAAAGCAACCACGATTCTTGGATGATTCTTTGATCATTTCCAGTGTAAAAGGGAAATATAGTATGTCATGAGAGATTGCTAGTGTGGTCTAATTTGTGCTTAAGAAATAGGTGACAGAAACAGCAGAAGGGGATTCTAGGTATCCTGGGATGACTGGAGAATGCAAAGAAGTAGTTTCCTCAGTATCAAGAAAGGGCAACAAGTAGAAAATACAACTCCTTTTGTATAAAAACACTGGTGATAATGATCTTTAACCTGAAGGACCTTTCTGTCTCAAAAACAAATGAAGTTTGGTTACCTACAAATAAGTTTAAATAGAATGATTGCATCTGCTTTACAGGTGACAGAACATGTTCTGGAAGAAAGCATGTCTCCTTGATGGAAAACCCTGATGAATAAACAAAACTCTGTAGCTCTGTTGCTGTGTTGGTGATTAGGCAATTTTCAGTTCTTCAGAGTCTTTGGGAGTTTTTTTGGCTGATGCTTCCACTGCTTTATTTTTCCTGAGATGGTTGAATAGTGTTACTCCGAAGGCTTTTTTTCTTGGGTTTTTTTTTCCACCATTTTTAAGTTCAGACCTCTCAGTGACTATTCTGTTTGAGCCAGATTCTCTTTGAAGCATTAGAAATGCCTAGTGAAGTTTAGTGGGTTCCTCTTCCATCTTGCCTGTCTCCCTCCAAGCCAACAGTATTTTATGACTGTATTTCATTGACATTCTTGTACAAAGTACAGAAAATGAAGTACAATATATTAAGAAAATATGGAACTGCCCATGTAAATATAGTTTTGTGTTATTACATTTCCATTCTTCCATATAATTTAGCTTCTTATAATAGAACATCAGTTCCATTGTGGTGAATTGTATGTAATTTTTTTCTTACCTCATATAATTTTTGGTTAGTCATTTTACATTTTTCTTCTAGATCCCCCAGTAAACCCTTGGCACGGAAATTAATGAGTGGGATGGACTGGGAAGTAGTGAGTAGGAACTCACTGTCTGATGATAGGTTGGAAACACAGAGCTTACCATCACGGTCTCCACCTGGAACCCCAAATCAGTAAGTAGCATTGAATCTTCTCTCCCTAGAAGTAACTGTCTACCTCTAATATGAGTTGACCTACTTGTGTAATAAAAGGATTAATGCATTACAGACACAAATAACTTCACAAGTTATGTGATGGTCTTCTGGAACATTTCGCTCCAGACAAGAGAAACTATTTGGGGATGAATTTTAGGTGCTTCTCAATTAAACTGTAAAAAGTGTAAGTAAGATGTAGCTCTCTACCCTAAATTTGAGAGCTTGAGTTTTCTCAAACACAGTTAAAACTAAATTATGCATTTGGCTAAGAAAAAAACTTGAAAATAAAGTCTGTGTGACATATTCAAAATAATTGATTCTGGTTAATACCACTTCTTAATTGGGGAAAATTACTTAATCAGAAATCCTTGTAGGTTTATTCCCCTCAGTTCTTCTGTATTGCCTTTCAAATCTCCCTCTTTTTGCATTGTAGAGCTTTCTGTTTTATGTTTAAAGCTAATAAAAAGTCATTCCTGATTTCTTTCAGAAAATAACCAATTTTCTCAGTCTGCTGAAACTGGCTTAATCAGTTTTACCCAATTTTGTATTGCATAAACCAGAAGGTTTTAAAACTCTCTGGCATTGCAGCACATTGTTCAAAAGACTTGATATTTATAAATACCTGTAGCATTTAAAAATTGTAAGAATTGTGTAACAATGATGCTAATAGCATAAAATAATTTAAACGTGTGTTTCAAAGCATTTTAAGAAAGATGCCTCTGTCACCATGCTAGTTTTCAAATGGGAAAATTTGGGGTCACAAAAATAAGAGTCTCAGTGCAAAGCTTACAGTTCTTCTAGGAGAAGATGTTAATCTGTCCTGGTTTAAGGTTAAATTCTGCATGAGCAGAGACAGGATTTTTTTTTTCATGGGGACTCATTTTTCCTCTCATTGACTGGACTGTTATTCCAGTAGCCTGTTCATTGGACCATAATGCTTTCAGACTTACTTAGTTTTAAAAAATATTAACTAGCCATTTATTGTTTACAAAAATAATTTTTGAACACTTCTTAAAAAAATATCAAATATTGTTAATCTGACAACAGAATTGCTTCAGTAATTTCTGAAACCTCAAATTATTTAATAAGAATATGTATATGAACATATGCTTGCACTGGGAGGAAATAATTATTTTAGCATTCCTTTGTAGTGATATAAGAAAAGTAGATTAATATTAATATTATTTTCACATTACACTCCTATGCTTTCCTTCTTAGTCGCAACTCTGCCTTCACTCAAGAAGGAGCCCGGTTACGACCTTCATCAGTTGGACATTTAGTGGACCATGTAGTTCACACTTCCCCGAGTGAAGTATTTGTAAATCACAGATCTCCATCTTCCACCCAAGCTAATAGCATCATACTGGAATCATCACCGTAAGTTCTGCTGGTTGTTACTATATGGTAGCATGCAGGGCTTCTGAAGGTAAATCAGAAGTCTTCACCATTAAGAATTTAGTGTTTAAATATTTGGGTTAGGGAGAGCCAGAAAATCTAATAAAAAGGTAGCTGTTTTTTAGGGAGTATTCTTAGAGGTCTTGCTGAAAATTAAATGATACAGAGGTAAAGACCTATATCTGACATGGTCCTGGTGCAGGATCACAATACCTTCTGCACCTACCCACTCAAAATGTGCATTTGCTGTAATGTAACCATCAGTGTCTGGATGTGGAAGTAAAAGGGGTTGTTTTTTGATAGAACTGAAGTATGTTGTTTCATGATAAAAGTTTTTAATTCCTGTGAGTCTGGAAATCTTGCTTTTTGTCAAGGCACAAAGTATGAGTGAGCTTTACAAATTACTTAGCCAAAATACCTTTTTAGCACACTAGTATTCTGAGGTTCCTAGTCTGTTTTGTATGTTGTTATAGAGTATATCTTTACTTTTTAAAGATAGCACTATCAGACTTCTGTTATGCTGAATATTCCTGATACTGTAAGTTTACTGTGCTATGGTGGGCAAAATAAAATATTAGTCTGTTTCAAGTCCAGAAAAATGACAGACAAAAAAACCCCACAGAGTTATTCAAAGATTTGAAGTACTAGCTAACTTGTGGCCAGAGTACAAATGAATTGTGGAAAAAAGATGCACAATATACACCTTATTAACACTGCCACTGTACCTTCTTATATGTAGCTCTACATGCAATGCCAAACTTGCCCTCATAATTTTGTCTAATCTGTTAGCAAGGAAATTGTGCAAATGGTTTCAGTGAGGACTGTAAAATAGCACATAGATAATGACATGTTTATGAACAAATTGTGTGTCTCGGGGAAAAATTACTCTGGAAAGGTATTTGAACATAATTTTAAAACCTTGCTTGGACTGTACCTTTGGTTTTGTCAACTGTGCGTAACTTTGGGGAGGGAAGCAGAATGCAAAATCTTTAAAGTTTTGTAAAATAACACAAGATTCTTTTTATGATAGGGTATAATAGATATGATTTGACCATTAGCTAGTTATTTAGCTTTCAGAGTTATAAAACAGTAATTTGGCCTATTAATATAAAATCCCCTTGTTTTGGTGGGCTTTTTTGACCCACTCACATGTTAAGGGAGTCTCAAAACTGGAACACTTATGAATCTTTTCTTATGCTAGAGTTTTGCTGTACAAAGGCCACAGACAATCAGGTTCCTTCTGTTCCAAGACTTCCAAATGAAGTCAGTTATGAGAAACACTGAATGGTAGAGTGATACAGTGAAGTAAACACCGTTCTTAAAATACTGTCTTTTATTCATATCCCTTTCTGATAAGTTAAGTTGTAAAAGATGTTCCTGGGTGTCCTTGGGATTTGTTTATTTAATACCTGATTTCTTGTGTAAGTCACCATAGAAATGAATCTTAAAGAGAGGAAGTGGTTTTGTAAATTAGTTGTGCAACTATGGCTGTTCTTTTTTTATGATTTTTTACTTTTTATGCCCAAGCAGAAAAACTATTGCTCTTCTATCACTAAGTTTTGCTTTTTGTTTTTTCCCTTGTTGAAAGTCTAAAAGTGGAATTTAATCTCCCAGTATAGATATCTAGCATAAGATATTTTTAAACAATGAAGATGTTGACTCTCAAAAATACCTGAACCCCATCAGGGTCTTTTTAAACTGTTAAGTGATGTTATTGATTCAAGATTTGAAATTTATGGAAGAAAGTAGTAGTCATGAGGTTCATATTAGCTGTATTATTTAAAATTATACAATCATAGAATGCTTTGGATTGGAAGGGACCTTCAAGATCATCTAGTTCCAACCCCCCTGCCATGGGTAGGGACACCTTCCACTAGATGAGGTTGCTCAAACCCCTATCCAACTTGGCCTTGAACACTGCCAGGGAGGGGGCAGCCACAGCTTCTCAGGGCAACCTGTTCCAGTGAAGAATTTCTTCCTAATCTAAAACAAACCTCTCTCAGTTTAAAGCTGTTACCCTCATCCTAACCCTACACTCCCTGATAAAGAGTCCCCTCCCCATCTTTCCTGTAGCCCCCTTAAGTACTGGAAGGCCGCTATAAGGTCTCCCTGGAGGCTTTTGTTCTTCAGGCTGAACAACCCCAACTCTCTCAGCCTGTCCTCACAGGGGAGGTGCTCCAGCCCCCGGATCATCTTCATGGCCTCCTCTGGAACCCTTTGAGCAGGTCCATGTCCTTATGTTGGGGGCCCCAAGGCTGGACACAGCACTGTAGGTGGGGTCTCATGAGAGCAGAATAGAGGGGTAGAATCCCCTCCCTCAACCTGCTGGCCACAATCCGCTTGATGCAGCTCAGGTCACGGTTGGCTTTCTGGGCTGCAAGCACACATTGCTGGCTCATAGTCAGTTTTCCATCCACTGACACTCCCAAGTCCTCCGCAGGGCTGCTCTCAATCCACTCATTGCCCAGCCTGTATTTGTGCTTGGGATTGCCCTGACCCATGTGCAGGACTTTGCACTTGGCCTAGTTGAACTTCATGAGGATTGTATGGTCCCACCTCTCCAGCCTGTCCAGGTCCCTCTGGATGCCTTCCCTTCCCTCCCGCATGTCAACTACACCACTCAGCTTGGTGTCATCAGCAAACTTGCTGAGGGTGCCCTCACTCCCACTGTCCATGTCATCAACAAAGATGTTAAACAGCTCTGGTCCCAACACCAACCCCTGCAGAACACCACTCGTCACTGCTCTCCACTTGGACATTGAGCTGTTGACCACAACTCCTTGAGTGTGACCATCCAGCCAATTCCTTATCCACTGAGTGGTCCATCTGTCAAATCCATGGCTCTCCAATTTAGAGACAAAGATGTCATGTGGGACAGCGTCAAATACTTTGCACAAGTCCAGGTAGATGATGTCAATTGCTCTTCCCTTATCCACCAGCGCTGTAACATCATTGTAGAAGACCACTGAAATTGTCAGGCTTGATTTGCCCTTATTGAAGCAGTATGTGATAATGTTCTACAGACCAAAAGCCGGTTTCTTAAAAAATTTGACCTTTCTGAGTAAAAAGATTTGAGCAGTCCATCTGCTAGTTTGCTGGGAATTTTTATTGAATAAATTTACATATGTAACAAAGCCAGAGGGGCTAACCTGACAGGCAGTAGGTTTAATGATCTCTCTGATTTTAGAGTCAACATAGCAAAAGAAATGTTTCAGTGCAGTTTAGAAGAATATTATAGTGTAGCCAATACAACCTTTAATTCCACATTTTTTTTCTTCATCTGTATGTGCTATTCAAAACTAAATTGAGAGATTTCCGCTTGTAGTTCCCTGAGGTAATTATAACCTTAAATTCCAAAAGCATATAATGTGTTCAGTTTAATAAATTTGTGGGGGTGCATATGAAAATTTTGCTTAATAAATTAAAAGGTCAGTCTGGATATCTGAAACAGAAATACCTAAAGCTTGTCTGTGCCAGGGTTTGTGTGTTATTTTATTATTATGTAAATTGCTGAATGCGGTAACAGAGAGCTGCTTTGCCTGCAAAATAGGCTGCTTTCACTGCCATTGTCTAAGCATTCATAAGGAAATTCAAAGCTGACTGGGCAAATATAAAGCAATGAAGTTTTTGCCCAAGGCTTGATTGTTAGTTCTCACAATTCATTATGCTAATATATTATAGTACTTGCATTGCTGCTTCTAAAATGCTCATTTAAGTAACTTTTCAAATCTTTTCTTAAGTTTGTATGTTCGGTAGGAATTTATTTGTGTTTGTTGACATGTATGTACAGACACCTAGTCAAACACAAGATCCCATCGATTTCTTTTATTGGAATGACTTCTTTTGTGTCTCTGCTCACGTTTTCTGTCCCCTTTTTATTCAGTTTAGAACTCTCAGGAGTAATTGTTTGCAAGAAAATACATAACTGTGTTGCCCTTCACTTAAAAGACTGAGTAATCTGTACTGACCAGACTTAAATGAATAAATACATAGGCAGTTAAAAAGCTCTGGGTGACCTTTGTGAGTCAATGTATAAATAATTTATAGTTGCCTTGAAAATTCATTTTGCAAATTTTGGCAATCATCATATTTTTCTCTTTCTCCACAAAAAAATAATTTAGAAAAGCTGCTTATCCTGAAAAATAAAATATAAAGATAGGCTTTTTTTTACTGTCACTTGCATTGAAAAGTGTTAAGAAAAATTATTTTTATTCCTTAGTGTGTTCTGAACATGAGATTCAACATCAGATACTGAATAATTAGTACTTTTTTTTTCTTTTAACACTACATGAAAAAAAAAAATAAATCTGGAAGTTGAAATTAAGCAAAAACATACCAAAAAAAATATTGTTAATATCTTTTCAAATATGCTGGGTTTGTACACTGACAAGAAAAATATCAATATTTTGTTTTCTAACAAAATTGACTAAATTTTTAAAAACTGAAATGGAAAATGTGTGGTTCTTCAAAGTGAAATGTTCTGTTTCCCATTCAGTTTTCATGCTTTTTCAAAGAGGTTTATCCTTTATTTGAAATCATTGTAGATAGTTGTCATCTGATTTTTTTTGTTTTTATTTCGTATCCAGTATGTGCCTTTCTTTACTTGCATAGAAACAAATTATATTGTATGGAATTTGATGTGTGCCTTAGGTTTTCTAACTTGCAGCACCTTGAAATGTTATGCAGTTTTGTAAAGAGAGTCTTACCTTGCTAACAGTTTACTGTGGCTAGACCAGTTAAATACAGTAGGACTACTCATGTGGTTACCCGTGCTTTTTAGGATATTATTCTATGAGTTACCGCTGCAGCTTGCTGATAACGAAAGGGGCAGTGTCCTGTTTCTGGGAGTGTACTTCCCTCCCTGCACGGTGGCTGACCCTGTGGTGAACCAGTTCACCTTGTTGAACCAGCAGAGAGCTACCCAGACTTGTCCAAAAAGCCGCTGTATTTTTGATTGCTTGGTAAACTGCTTTAGTCAAGGGAGGAGCACTGGAGTGCTTCAAGGAGGGGGCTGTGGGTTGAGAAAAAGGAAGAACAGAGGCAGCCAGGTTTGGTGCTAGCGTTTTCTTTAGATTTAGCTGTAACCTGTAACTTCACTCTTGGTGGTTTTTGGATTTGCCACTAGTACCAGTGGGCTGTTGTCATAAGTCATTAAATTACCTAATAATACCTTTTAATGTGGTTCATGGGGAGGAAGGCATGTATCCTCGTTGGTATTTAGAAACTGGCATTCAAACTAAGTTAATGGGAACTATGTGCTAACTGCACTTTTGGGCCTTCAGAATGTTCTTGGTAATTCTTAAATATAAAGCCATATAATGAAAGATGAATCATATATTTATGTAATACAAATTGTACAGTTAAGTTTTTATTCCAAAAGGACTAATAAAGGAAATTATCCATATTATACATAAACACAGAGAACATTTTTATTAAGGTACAACAGAGTGTTTGAAGATCTAAAACAGAAATAGAACTTTCATCTTCAGTAATGGTGTTATAACTCAACTAAAAAAATACATGCAATTAATGCAATTTTTACAGATGTTTCAAAGCTATGCGTGTTTCAAGGGGGAGTAAGTTCAAGGGGGGAGAAAACAACGTTATCTTGAAATGTATACACATACTTTTAAATTGAAAAATTAAAATTCAACACTGTCACCTCTAGTGGGCTTTTCATATAAATGCAGGGGGACAGTTGAGTTGTCTTCAACTTGCACTCCTCCTGTTCCTAGATCAAAAGCAAAACCTAGTGTGGGAGCACTTTATTATGCTGCTTGTGTCTGGTTTTTGAGATTTAAATTGCAGGCATTAATTTAATGCAAACTAATTTATTTTCCTACTGAGGAAAACATAGTAAGTCACATACCTATTCTAGAATTTTTGTTTTTAAGCGAGAGTGCGTAGTATAAATACAGTGCATTTTATAATATTCCAATATAAAGTGAGTTAACAGTGCTAAAACTAGTTTAAAAAAAAAAAAGTTGTGTACCAGATGAACTTACTGGTTCTGTGTACAGTTGTTTCTCAAGAAAAAAGCAGTAACATTTCCAAACATATACTTCCAATATATTTTTCCACAGTACGTTTTTGAGATTCTGAAAATATGTACAGATAGCCAGCTCTCAAACACTTGAGTTTCTTCTAGGATTTTCAGTTTATTTGGAACACTGAAAGAGCTGTCAATATCTCATGATCATTCCACTTCATATTTCTATTTTGGTATTCAGATCTCAAGAGACTCCTATAGATGGGCAGCCTCCTGCATTACCACCCAAACAATTTAAAAAGAACAGTTGGAACCAAATTCATCATTCACACTCACAGCAAGAACTGGATAACCATATTAATGAAACATTTGATGTTCCAGCATCACCTGAAAAATCCACAGTAAGTTTTTACATCCAGTTTAACCATTCTGCTTTTTGTCGGAAAGATAGTCCTACTTTTCATGAGCTTGGTTCCGATGCATTTTAGAGAGTTGTGTTTGTGCATCACATTGCAGCATTTCCATTATACATACTGTCTCTTTGCTAGCTCCCACTGTTTTTTCCACATGCTGGAGTTAGTCCTTTGACAGTTGTCATCAAATGACTGCGTTGGGATGGATATGCAGACATTTTGAACAATAGCTTTTCAGCACGTGTAGAAATTTCCAACTAACCTCTTTGAGAATTCATTTACCATCAGTTTTAAAGAAGACATTACAGACACTACCACTGGTGTTTAATCTAGCTTTTATCAAAAAGATGAAACTGAAAGTGCTTGCCAGCTGCTAGTGTACTTTTGTCAGAAGAGGCTTCTTGAATCTGTGGTTGCATTTTTCATCAGAATTTCCAAGAAAGAGACTCTGCCAAGAGACCTGTGGCCACAAATGTAAAAATCTGAGCAAAAGTTCTTTTTACACACTTAAGCAAGTGCTAGATGAGTAAGCTAGTCTGTTGATTATTGTCTGACTGAGGTGAGATCTCACTGACCAGTTTGTAATTTTTGTCCTTCAGTGGTTCTTGGTTTTATATTGATGTGGGACAAGAAACATTTTGCAGGATGAGAAAACTGTTTAACATCCAGATGTAGCAAATACTGTATAAACAGTTTTGCCAACCTCAAACATATGAAATTGAGTCAGTTCCCAAAATTGGTTTATTTTTATTTGAATTCTGAAATCTAAGCCTACAGTGTTTCTCTCAGGCCTTGTTACAAAGTTCCCAAAAACCCATATTTAATTTCATAGCTGGGGTTTTAATAAAACACACTAAAGTGAAACTTGTAAATTTATGAGCATTTTGGGAATATTGTTAAAAAAAAAAAAAAAAGCTTTAATTAAATCATGAAACAGGATTTTTAACAACTTTGTCTTCTGTAAGTGCTTACCTGAGTCATACTGTTCTGTTTTGAAAGATAACACTACTCATCAAGTTTTTCCTGCTCTGTATTCAGTTATCTTTACCAAATTGACAAAAATAACTTTCAGTTGTTTTTTTTAACTCCTTTTAGTTCTGCAAAACCAACACAGCTGCGTGAGAATGAGATTCTTTTTTCGCTGTGCATTGTCAGTGTAATTGTTTGCTGAGGTCCAATGGGCCACATTTATGCAGCCTCAGTTAAGGCAGTACACTGTCGTAGTTGAAGATCTAATTTGGTTTGCTGATGGCTTTTTATTTTGGGTGTTAGAGAAGAAGGAACGGAGCATGACTCTGAAATTTTGTGAAATTGTAGAATTAGGCTTTGGAATATGTTGAGGTTGGTTGTTTTTTTTTTTCCAAAGTTGCTTCTCTGACCAAAATGTGCTTCAAGTTCCTGCACCACTAAAGTCTCTTCTCCTGCTCCATCTTAACGGTTTTAAGGAAAACCCCTCACCATTTTGATTTCATTTAGCTATTGGATTTCATTCATCTGTTGTATGTATGGAGACACTATTTTGAAAGATAGGACAGGTATGGAATGATAACTTTTTACTCCATCTACAGTCCCTAAGTATCCAGTCTGAGAATTTCCAGAAGTATTTGAAAACAGTTGTGGCCAGGAGTTCCTTCAGTCAGACAGGTTAATGATGATATACAGTGCTCTCTTCAGGTTTTTTATTACAAACTGCTGCTCAAAATAGTCTCCTAAAGCAGGAAATTATTATTGCCTTTTTATCTGGGGAATGCAGTGGCACAAAAGTTGCCAAACACTGCAAGATGAGCACTTGGTGGTTCCTTATTGTGCCCAGGAACCTGAGTCTAGTCTCTCATGCCAGTGACCATAGATTAAATGATTTGCATGTGATCAGGCTTCCTAAGCACCCTTGCTTCTCATTAACATGTCTTAACACTGTTAATTTCTTCCACCAACTTTTTCATTTTTTCGTCACTGTTAATTTCTTCCACCAACTTTTTCATTTTTTCGTCACTTTGAGTGTGTGTGTGTGTGTGTTGTTTTAGCGTAAAAAACCTGGAATTGAGTTAACTGTCTATGAGCCAAGTTGTGCAGACCTCTTCTACTTATTGAACCTTCAGGTTTTGAACTTTCTTGTATATAGAAATGTTTGCTTTAATAATTTTTTTTGTTTTCTTTCTTTCTAAATATGTCTTATGCTTTGGCTGTAATTGATAGCATTGAAAACTTCTGTGAAACACTTTAATAATACTTCACATCTTCACCATAGAATAGTAATACTAGCTAATGTTCCATATGTGAAATAAGTATTGATGGGAACAAAATAAAATTTACTTCAATAGCACAAAGTTGATTTTTCCAGATTAAAACAATATCTAGTATTCCCCACTTTATTGGTAGTTCCTTTAACAGTGTTGCTGTGAGCAGAATGAAACCAGAAAGAAAGGAGCTAAAATTGTTAGATCTTGATCAGTGGAGAGCATATATCACACCTCATACTCCACTACACTGCACGTGGAATAGGGGATACAGAACCAAGATTTTGTTACCAAACTTTTCCTTGCTTACTACTGTCATATTGTTGTTAATAGAAACAAAAGTATAGCTTCAATTATCTTATTTTTCATCATATTGCATTCTTACTGTAGGCTTTTCACTGCTATCTTATGTAAAACAAATTTATGGAGTTTCAATATAGTAAACTGTTTTTCTTAAGACTGCTTCAAGTCAATTAGTCTTTCCTAATAGTGTTTCTTTCTTTGAGCTTGCTTTGACAGAACACACTTTTAGTTTACTTATGTCCCAGACTTTTAAAGGTGTAACTTTTCCCTTTTATGCAGAACTCAAGATAAGACATTTGCACTATCACTTGATGTTTTCTCAAGTGTCTAGGAGCAATTACTTCATGGAGAAACTGCAAAATTATGACATACAATATCCTCAGAACTATGAACAAAATATATATTAATGTAATACAATTTTTGTTTACTAGCCCAATGGTGGTGTCCCCCATGACAATCTTGTTATGATCAGAATGAAACCAGATGAAAATGGAAGGTTTGGCTTCAATGTAAAGGTAATGGTACATCTATTCCCTTCATGTCTATTAAGATTATTTTCTGATATTTGTGATCTATAACTAATTTAACTTGTTTTTAAAGGGTGGATACGATCAGAAGATGCCAGTAATAGTGTCCCGGGTAGCTCCAGGAACACCTGTAAGTTATCAGAAAGACAAACTTGGTAGCAGTATCTGTGTATCTTGAAGTATGTATTCAAACTTGTAAATTATTTCATAGCTGCCTGTGAAAATTAGTTTGTACTGTAATATTATTATAACAAAGCAAATTATGTGTAGTGAGAATTTGGTGGGGCTACCTAATGTACTTTTAAAAGTTTTTCAGTCCTCAAAAATATTTTTTCTTTCTGAAACAAAGTCTAATTCCTGAAAATTACAAGGAATTACAGATGTTCATTATGCACTTTTTCTTGAGCTGTGTCATCCTAAAAATACATTTACTTTATTACTTTTTTAAAATATAGGCATTCATATAATTTCACATAAATTATATATCGAAATAGTTTTTAGTATGTTAAAAATAACTAAAATAGCAAATCTCTTATTTTAGTGACAGATGTAGCTGAATAAAGCCAAGTTTTAGATAAAAATCAGACATCATGAATCATTCATCAGGTCTGATTGTCTGTTGTTACTGGTGTTCAGTGACTATCAATAGTGTCTTCAAACTAGGCACAATATTTTGTCAGTTGATTGCCAAAAATACTGACCTGGTATTCAGCTGCCTGGAGTCAGCTCTGTTTATACCTTTTAGAGTGAACCGTTTATTTACTAACATTTAAGAAGTACATGTTTCTCATTTTTTGACTATTTGAAACTATCGAAATGTTGGCCAAGAGCATTGTTCTTGTCCCTGATAATTATTATCTCTGAAAAATTTAATAACATAAATAATTTTGGCTGAATGCTTTAAACATCCACTTTCTAGGGAGAAGATATCTGCTGATACCATGTGCTCTTTCTTTTCTGCAACAGTGTTTAGACTGAGATTATAATAATGATTTTTATTACCTGATTCTTCTCTCTGGGATTACTGGGATTTGTGTGTTGTCTTCAGTCCTTGTTTTACTCTTGTCATTACAGTTGCAGTATTTCACACCTGAAGCATTTAAGCCTGTGAAATTGATTTGGACAAGGCTTTGCTGTGTTACTCCCTTCTCTTCAAAGATAAGAACATCCTGATTTTTAATCGCCTATGTGATTCAAATAGAGGAGCTTTCTGCTTCAGCCAGAGGAGTGGAGTAACAGCTGCCGAAAGAATAACAGCCTTAAAATAACAGTCAACTCCCAGTTGCAAATTGATTTCTTCATGTGAATGGCAGTGTCTTATGTATTGTGTAACACTTAAATTTATCATTTGAATACAGTGCAGCAACCATAGCAACTAAGCTGTTAGGATTCAAGTCACCGAGTATAGTTACTTTAAGTTGCTATTTTAATGTGAGAAATTGGAAATGTCTTGGTTTATAAATTTTTCTCTTTATTCTTTGCACATTACAGGCTGATCTCTGTGTCCCTCGTTTGAATGAAGGGGACCAGGTTGTACTGATTAACGGCAGGGATATAGCAGAACATACCCATGATCAAGTTGTTATGTTTATTAAAGCTAGCTGTGAGAGACACTCAGGGGAACTTGTGCTTCTAGTTCGACCCAATGGTGAGTGATTTGTATGTAATAATAATAATAATAATAATAATAATAATAATAATAATAAACCCCACAACAAATCCACACCTTGCTTTAATTTTCTGACCTTCATTTTGTGTCCTGAGATGGAATGCTTAACATCTTTGTAAGAGAGAACTCCCTTCCTTGAAAAGGAATTGCAACAACACAATGTATGGTACAAATCTTGATGGATCCCATACTCTAAGGAGCTGTGCATAACTAAGTGTTGAAAATTAATAGAAAAAACAGAGATCAAATGTTTCTAACAGGGAGCTACTTTAAATTTTATGCTCACTCTCATTGATAAAAATGTCCGGAAAGCTATATGGATATTAAGAGCAATTTCTGAGGTTGCTGTTATTCCCTCAAGGAAAATAAAAATGAAACGCAAAAAACCACTCACCAAATACCCAGTATTTGGATGACTTCAGAGGTTAATGTATGCAAAATCCTCCACAATTGAGAACAACTGGTTACATTTCTACTTGAGGAGGCTTAATAGGAGAAAGTGCTAAAAATGCAATCTAAATAACAGCTTGTGGAATACATTCATGAAATACACTGTGTGTTGGATTATTGTCAGCAGATGGTCACTGGATTTCATTCTGCTGCACATCCCAATTATAATACAGTTGCAGAGGAAAAAGCAAAATGAAAAATAGTGAATAATCAGAATAATTGAAATTACTTCAGGAGAGTACTTTAACCACCTCCTAAACAATTTTTCCTGTATTCACTTATTTGCACTCCCCACTTACTTGTGCTCTCATTCTGCATGTTAAGTTCCCTTGCAGCTTTTGTGTGCTTTCTTTTTCAGATAAAATTGTTAGCTTTGTTTACAAATTTACTAAAACAGTTTCCCCTTGTGTGTTGATTATCTTTCTATTCTGGATAAGACTGTTTGGGTTGTAGAAGTGAGGAGTTGCAGTATCCTCCTTCATGGTCATGGAATATCATTTAAAAGCAGTCTTTCAAACAGCATATATCTCTATTATGTGTCGTAGAAGATGCATATTATTTTTCAGTTTATAGGCAGGATGTGTACAGCATTGATAGCATTATAATGCATATATTAATGCCATTATCTCAGGTGGTCTGCACATCTTGCCCAAATTACTGAAGCCTGAAATCAGTTCAAAGTGAATTAAAAGTAAAAATGTAAATACAACTGTAATGACTTCAGAGGCATGATGTATGTGAGAATCTGAGATTAGGGAGTTATGTCAGACAAGGTAGGGTATAACATGAGTTTTGATTAAAATTTTAGCAGTCAGTGATGTGCTTTCACTTAAAATTATTATTAAACAAACAAACAAACAAAAGTTTTGTGATGGATTATAATGATCAATTAAGGCTAATTGCCCTTGCTGTTGGGGACTGAAATCGGTATCTTAATTTATGGTGGAACGAGGTGATCTTCAAGGTCTTTTCCAACCTAGTAGATTCTGTGATTCTGTGTAAATATGGATTCTTCTACAGGAGAAACACTTGTCTTTTTTTCTGTTTTAAATAAATGACTTAGAGTTAACTTTACTTGCCAAACAGCATGTAATTAGAGCATTCATACCTTTATTTGTTATAGCTGTCTATGATGTTGTGGAAGAGAAGCTGGAGAGTGAGCCTGACTTCCAGTACATCCCTGAGAAATCTCCACTTGATGGTGTCCATCAAGACGATAATGCTCTGAGGGAATCCATGATTCAGCTAGCAGAGGGGCTTATCACTGGAACTGTTTTGGCTCAATTTGATGTGAGTACTGTGTCACTTGTAGCTGTGTGCAAGTTCCAAGTCTTTTGGGATAGTAATTATTTTAAGCAGAGCATATTTCAATTAAATTTCAGTAGAGTTAATCATCTTTTAGCAAAACAATTATCTTACACTCTCAAAAGAAAAAAAAATCCACTCCTGTATTGTATGTGCAAACTTATGTCATTGAATAATCCTAATACTGGTTTTTAGTGTTGCGTGTTATAAATAGCTTTACTGATTACTTACAGCTTTTTGTGGTTATTAGGGACCTATGCTAATAAAATACTTTCATAGCGATCAAGACTGAAAAATGTATTACGAAATATGTGTTCTGTACTCAGACCTTCATTCCATATCTAAGTTACTGTAGAAACTGAATGAGAGCTGAGCTGTTGACGTTTTATGGACAATCTCAATTAGGGAAGGTAAAATTATCAATGGAAAATACAACCCTGATCTTAAGGGTTAATCTAGAAATGTCTCCTTTATATAGTTTATTTTTTAATGACATATTTCAGAAGAACGGTGCACTTCCTGTCGGGTCCTAAGCTGTTGATAGCTATAGTCTTTCTTTAGCACTAAGTTGTGCCTTGATAATACTCTCATCTTTAATGCATGAGATCAAGTGACTTAAAGCAGGAAGCAGTAGGTTTGTAAAACACAGGAGTAGGAATTCTGTGAATTCCTCACCAAATGGAGACCTAGCATCGTGTATTAAAATGTATATTTATAAAATATGTACTGTTCTCTAAGAACTTAAAATTTATGTTTCTATACAGAAAGAAATTATTTTCTAGACGTGATGTAAAATCCCTACTTAACCATATGTTTTTAGTCTCCCAAACAGGTTCAATGTTTAAAAGTTTTTAAGGTGCTTTTTATTGAACTTAGATCATTTCACTAATACTGTTTTCAGCACCAGGGTTGTGGCAGTGTATGGTGAGGGCAGGAACCTCTCAAAGGAGATCCTGTGCAGGAAAAGCACGAGGTAGCCCAGGATTCGCTCTACAGTTATTAAAATATGGAAGGACATCTGAAAAAACAAAAGTGAAACAACTGCAGTGTAGGTAGATGCTTATACACCACACGATGTTCTTGCCCCAAATCACTACGTGGAATGTCAGTATCAGTCAATTCCCTTACCAGTATGAAATACTGACTTTTCTCTGGATCAGTGTTCTTATGGAAGCTTCAAGCTTAACTTTCAGTTTCTCTTCAACTAAATTGTGATGATGTCGTGATTATTTTCAATGATCCCACAGCATTTGTAGTTCTTTCTTTTGGAAAGTATTTTCATGTATGTTGAAGCTACCATTGCTCAGTAGTTTAAAATGTTCTAAAAAGTACCTCTGTGCAAATAGTACACTAACAGGTCTTCTGCATCTAGTACAGTCTGACTATTGGTTTTATCTTTTAGCAATTGTATAGGAAAAAGCCTGGAATGACAATGTCTTGTGCCAGATTACCTCAAAACATTTCCAAAAATAGATACAGAGACATTTCGCCTTGTAAGTATGTGTGTTTGTATCAGTGTACTATAAGTATTTTACTTTGGTTAGTGAATAAGTAACATTTTTCTAAAAATTTTTTCAGATGATGCTACACGGGTTATTTTAAAAAGTAATGAAGATTACATCAATGCAAATTATATAAATGTGAGTAGTATTTTTTAAAAGAGCTTCTGGCATTAAGTAATTTTACTTTTTTTAAATGGAGGAGTTGATTAAAAAAATAAAATTTTCATAAATTTAGACTAGAATGGCTGAGAAAGCTGTGGTCAGATGGTTTGAAATTTACTGTAGATACACTTATTTGCTAATGCTTCATGGCAGGTGTTTTTATAAATGAAAACAAGAAAAAGACAAAAACTCTTAAGAGAAGCTAACCCTCTACCAGAGGAATTTGTTCATCTTTTCTGATTGCTAATGTGGCAGTAGTATTCAACATCAGTAAAGTTTAATCTGGTAGCACTTCCTTTTACCTTTTTTTTTTTTTTTAATTGTCAGTAACAACAAAATTACAGCTACTTACCCTCGCTTTCAGGAAGGAAAAACAGAGATTAAATTAAATTTCATGATTGGTAGTTTAAAAGCCACTGTCAGAAACCCACACTGAATATTTGCACCTGAATTACTTGCCAACTTGGTCTATCATTTTTTTTTGGCCAATAATCCTGATTTTGGCAACTACATAACCATCAATTATTATTGGGTCTTTGTAATGGTTTTGTGTGTAAAACATTTCAAAGAATTTTCATCTTTTTCAGAGAATTCAAATTTTCAAAGAATGTGCCAATCCATATTTAATAACTTATAATATAATTAATATAGTTGATGCTTTTTTGGTGTATTGTTCACTAACCCCTAAATTTTTGATGCCTGACTGACTTTGTCTTCTCTTCTGAATTTGTCTTCTCTTAGATGGAAATCCCTTCTTCGACAATAATAAACCAGTACATTGCTTGTCAAGGTCCATTACCGAACACTTGTCCTGATTTTTGGCAGATGACTTGGGAACAAGGCTCATCTATGGTTGTAATGTTAACGACTCAAGTTGAAAGAGGAAGAGTAAGTAAAAGATTTCCTTAAATACTACTTTTATAATCTTCTAAAAATCTGTTGGTGAGTAGTCTCTAAAAGATATACTATTATGACATATAATATGACAAGGGGTAATGGTATTACACTAAAAGAGGATAGATTTAAACTCGATATAAGGAAGAAATTTTTTTACCATGAGAGTGGTAAAATACTGGTACAGGATGCCCAGAAAATAGGTAGATGCCACATCTCTGGAAATTTTCAAAGTCAGTCTGGACAGGTCTCTGAGCAACCGATGTAGTTGAAGATGTCCCTGCTCATTGCAGGGGGGTTGGACTAGATTATATTTAAAGGTCCCTTCCAACCTAAACTATTCTATGATTCCATGACTTTTTTTTTTTTCCCATAAGGGCAGCGCATTCCTAGTACTGTTGTAATGATGATACTTACTTTTTAAACTTTCTGATACTGTTAACACAGCTGATATTTAAACTTTGTTCAGTCCTGAAATACATTGAAGTTTTTACTTATTTCTTAAAATATTTTTAGCTGTCTTTGATTCTTTATTGTAAAGTAAAAAGCAGCTAGAAATTACCTTCATAGGATTTTTTTTCTCTAAACTTAAAAATGAAGGAACTCCAGGAAGTTTAATCAGCTTTTGTAAATTACTTCTTTGATATGCAGAGAGATTAATTTTTTAAGACAGCCTAACACAGCTTTGTAGTCTTAAGATCCCATGCCTGGATGGCTGTCTTGAAGAGAATCCTTGATAAGCTTAAAATAAAAAAATTTTCATAAAATGTTCTTCTGTGGCTACAAATATTTGTTTAATCATATGAAGAAATCATTGTACTTTATTTCCATACAAAAATGTGTAAAAATACAGTACTAGTAATAAAGTAATTAGAGTTATAAATTACTAAAAATAATTGTATATGGTGCTGTGAAAGGCCTCTGGTGTATTTTGTGGTTGGTTTGGTTTTGGGCTGGGGGGGGTGTTAGTTGTAGTTTCTCCTTAACAGCTTTGTTTATTATGCAGCTTTGTGTTTTGGAGACAGGCAAAACAATCAAATCTGGTCATACATGCAGTGTAATTTCAGAGTTATTCAGTTTATAGTCTGGAGCATTCACAGCAGCACTGGCTGGTTGAGTGTGTGGACAGAAATGAGTCTGGAATAATAGTTTAATGGAATTTCTTCGCTTTCAGGATTTTTTTGAAGATGGATTTATAGCAGATTGTGGGTGTTCCAATCAACTCAGACTGTAGTTCATCTGTTTGTATATGTTCTAACCTTTTAATAACCATATATTTGCTGGAAAGTCAGGCCTCTAAATATAATTAAAATAATTGAAGGGGAGTTACAGCATTTTTAAATCATTTTTCAGTGACTCAACGTTAGCATGATGCTGCCTGCTTCCAAATAAATGTGATTAGAGGGAATTTCAGTACAAGTGCCCTTTTAATTTGAGTTTTCTTTGCAGATCTGCTAAGAACAGACTTGCAGCAGCAGTTCTCTGAGGTTCCCCCACCCCTTCAATAATATTTGTGGAGTTCTTTGGAGAGCTGCTTAGTAATAAAATAAAAGCACTTATCTGTCTTATACCCATAGGCAGACTCCCTGCTCTAAAGCTGATCATGAGGCTACTGACATCACTATCCCACTTCATGCCGGGATGTCTCAGTGGAGCAGGAAGTCTGCAAATCTGGCTGCTCTTAAAGAATCGCCAGGTGGGTTGGAAAAACAAAAGTACACTTGAGCTGAAATGACCTCTGTAATTAGGCGTTTAAGCAATATATCTGAAAATCTCAGTGTTCGAAGTTTTCATTCATATTTGAGGACTTGATCAAGAGTCTTTGAAGTCTACCATCTGCATCTCCCTAATTTTTGCATTAGTTTAGCAACTTTTTTGTTGCTTATCACCTTTTTTTTTCATTTGTTCTTTTCCCATATAAATGTGCTTTGAAATGATTAGATTAGGATTTTGGAGGTCAGAAATCTTTATAAAGCAGCATCTTTGTCACTCAAGTCTTAAGATGGAATAGATATACTTTTTTAAAAATTGTAATGAACATTAAAGGCATCCATGTGCAGTTAAACTAACCTCAAGAGTTGGTGTGTGTGTCCTTTTGAGAACCAAGAAATCTCTGTGACACCTTATTTTATAAACAATAGTTAGGTAACATGGTCTGTATGGTAAGTAAAATAATAGTGATTACAGAATGATCAAAATAGTCTTTAATGAACAAAGGTGTAAGGAAGTAGAGAGAATGAAAAGAATACCGTGTGAATTTAAACACAGGCATCTTTAAAAATCTGTTGACCGTAGGTTAAATGTCATCAGTACTGGCCAGAGCCATCAGGAAGCTCTTCATATGGGAATTTCCAGATTACCTGCCATTCAGAAGAAGGAAATCCTGCTTATGTCTTTCGAGAAATGACATTGACTAATCTGGAGGTAAAAGCATAATACATATTTTTAAGTATTAATCTGTGGCATCCTCACAGACTAGCTAAAATTTACTTAATCAGACTTCCTTTTCAACTGGTTATTTCTAGAAGCCTTTAGAAAACTACTCATATTCCCATGTACTTACCTAGTATAAATTCTGCTACTAGAATGATTACAAACCTTTCATTAGCAAAATATCACAAAGATAGTTTCCATAATCATATTAATTGGTTTTAAATGATTTGTCTTAAAGTCTTTACTAGTGTCTTGTAAAAATGATTTGTCTTAAAAGTCTTTACTAGTGTCTTTCATGCCCTGGCCAAAGAATAATTAAAGGAGTTGAGAAACTTGTTATTCCCTTGATATTTTCAGAGCATGAGACACTAGGGGTATTTCATTACTGCAACTGAAAATCTGTCTTTGTAGAGACACAAACAGTTCTTAATTCCATCTTGGAGAATGTAGATGCAAGGAGATGGAAGATAAATCCATCTGAGAGATGAATTTGGATTGTTGATGACATGTACACAGGGACCTTCTAGAACATACATTGCATGATTTCAGGACACGTAGTTTTCAGAGCCTCCCAGCTAGCATTTCAATCTCAGAAATGTTTGAAAATCAGTATCTGGAATTTAGTTCACGTATGCATTTCTCACTCCTTGGGTAACCAGATGAGATGCCAGTTTTATAGAGCTGCCTTTCAGTCAATTTGCAGTTAAAATTCCTTCACTGGGTCCTGCTGAGGCAATTTCTTATTTGTTATCAGCAGTGGAACCTCTGTAAATATTTTGTGCCAAAAGGTTATTTAAAGTGCAGTAACAGGTCTTTGAAATCCTACTTTTACACTGATTGTATGGCCTGTCCCCTCCACTAACCAGTGGCAGATTATATTTGTGATATTAGAGCAAGGGGCAGGGAGTGAAAACAAAGTCGTTCTGCATCTTGTGTAGTACACTGGATAAAACTGAGGTGCAGATAAAGCCAAAACACTGCCGCTGTTCACACAGGGCCTGGAGGCAAACTTTTGTGTCTGAAAGTCCTGCCTCTCTCCTCCTAACCCCAGTTCTGTAGTTTGATCTAGTAAGACAACCTCTTTTCCTGTTAAATTTGTTTTGTTAAAAATTTGACCACCTACACTGTACATCTAGTGTTCAGATGGATCACTGGTATCCTTGAACTGCTTTGCTATTACATGGCATGTAATTGTTTTAACCTATAGAAGATGTAAACATTTGTGGATTGCCTTTTTTGTTTTTAAGAAAAATTATGTAATTATAAAATCCAGAATGAGCAATAATTAACACAATAAAGTGCTGCTAGTTGCCTGAAGCCACTTCATTATAGGTGCAAGTTGATGTAAATGTACCATTGATTTTTTAATTTTTTTTTTAAAATGGTATCTGAATTACCCTTGAATAAACTTCATGTTTCTGATTAGAAAGAGGAAAGCCGCCAACTAACCCAAATCCAGTATATAGCATGGCCTGATCATGGGGTTCCTGATGATTCCAGTGATTTCCTAGACTTTGTGTGTCTTGTGCGAAAGAAGAGGGCTGGCAGAGAAGAACCTGTTGTTGTTCATTGCAGGTATCCTTTTTTTTCCAACTTTATTAAATTATCAAACTGAATTTATTTATCATCAAATAGCTTTTCTGTGCTTTGTTATTGAAATAAACATTTAATTGTATCTGCTTTGGGATTGACAGGAGAACTCAACATTTAAATGAAACAATTGAAATTGAAATCACGTTTCAAAAAGCGAAATTTTGAGCATCTACATTGATCTGTGAGGCATTTTGTTGGGTTTGGGTGTTTTTTGGTTTTGTTTACAGTTTAAATGCCTGTCCTGTATAATAACTTGGGGAAATGGCAAAAGATACTTGGTAACCTTTTCCTCATGGTGACTACTCTACAAAAACTCCCAAATAACTGTATAAATAATCTGTTGCAAAAACTGTGGGTGCTATATGCAGTGAACAAATAAAAGACACTTTCTTTCAAGTCTGCAGTCTTAGGCTACATGATATTTTGATACTTACACTAAGATGACACATTTTTATCAACCATTTACTTTTGTCATGAATTAAAATATCTCTGTTACTCAGATTTTTATGTACATGTGAAGTGTGTTCTTTTGTTTTTCTTGTGCAATAGTTTATAATAGCATTCTACATTCCTATAGTAAATTTCAAAATCTTAATCCTTTAAAGTACCTAATTAGTAAACTATAATAATGCATAATGCCAAATGTCTTCAAGTGACCATGTACTATACCAATTCTTGGTGAGCAGCTATGTGAATAAAATTTGACCTCTAAATTCCCAATACTCCCTGGTCAGTGTTCCTGAGTCAGGTGTGAATTGTTCCTGTTTGAGATAAGCTGAGAGGTTTAAGGGATAAAATTTAAAGACTGTCTAATCTACAGGTAAACTAGACATTTATTGAAGGAGATGAAAGAAAAATGTTTTCTCTTTTCAACACTTCGTGTATCAGAAATTGTATTTAATTGGTTTTGCTTTATGCTTGTCAGGTCAATCTTATTAACTAAGGAAACCAGTACTAGAATGCCACTGTCTTAAATTATATTCTTCCTTGACTTTCATTATTGATATACTTTTGTTGATACGGTTATGAACAAATAGTGAAAATAACAGCCAAATGCAACTTTTACAATATAAAGTGTGCTAGTCTGCAGAGACTCTGGAACCACAACTTGGGAGAGCATGAACAGTTTCATTCATCTCGATGAGGCACCAAGTCAGCTCCATACTAATAATTTCAATACCAACATTTATAATAGTTTTACATTCCACAGAAGAAAAGAGAGGGAATATCATAGTTCAGTGTAATTTACTTAATTGGCTTAACTTGATGGAAATGTTTGGAAATATAACCAAATTCCGCTAGTGAATCAAGCTGAAGTTGCCCAGGGCTTCCTTCGTATGGTGCATGCACACTTTTTAACTTCTGTTAAGTATAATTGGACAAGGCATTAGCACAACAAAAAGGTGAAACTTGTTTTCAGAATTAAGTCACCAGCTTTGGTGTGGGGAATCCAAGTAGGTAGTAGAGCAGACTTTTCTTTTGTAAAGTAGTAGTTTAAAAAGAAAAGCAAAAAACCCCATAGAGATTCTAAAGCAACAAAAACTTTAAGAAATTGGAAAGATTTTTGTTATGTTGAACTACTTAAAACACTAGTTTCCAAGCTTGTGTTCATGTGTGTGTTTTTATTTTTACAAGACTCCTACTAGTTTAGTTGAACAGTTTTTAATTCTTGTTCTAGTTAAGATGGTGAGCCACCTGTCCTTCATGATTTTCACGTCCTGTCGCAATATTCCCCTTCATCAATCAATGATTTATTTTTCCAAGCTGAAGAGTCCTAGCCTACCTGATATCATATGAAAACTATCACACTTTACATAATTCTTGTTGCCCTTCTCTGAATCTTTTGAAGCTGTAAAATGAGACATTAGGTTCTTTGGCAGATACTGTTCCTGTTTGGATTTGATAAAGCATTCTGCATATAAACTATATATATATAAATTCTAGAAATATAGTTGACTAATTTTATATAATCAGCACATTTACACCTGATCATAAAATTCTCATGACATCACTGAAATATATAGTAGCTTTAATGCCACCTTCTGGGCAAAGATTTAAAGTAGTAGTTTGGCCAGACTTAATTTGAAGCTATGCTTCAGAATCTGAACAATTAAATTTCGAAGTTTGGAATGTTCATATTAACTAATTTAGAAGCAAACACTTTCATTTTACGACTAAAAGAGCATTTGCATGAGTTGAGATAATACTGGCATTTGAAAATACGGATTTGGTCCTGTATTCAAGTGTGGAGAAACACTGGTTTCCTATTTCAAAAGTGCGACATAATTTTCTTGAATATGAAAGATTTTAATTTGAAACTGATTATCAAGTTCAGGGTTAAATATTCAGTCTTTGAGGATTTCTACTTGTGCAAAAGTATATGTATATGTAAAACAATGCAGATAAATCTTTAGATTTGTTTTATTTTTAAGCTAAAGAAGATTCATGTAACTTCTCTTAACAGTTTTGCCATTCCAAGATGTATATATTATGGTTCTTCCTTGTCTTGAAAGGGATTGCTATTACATATTCCTTTTCAATCTACACAAGTTAGATCACTCTTGTACTTTTTAATACTAAGAAAATTATCTTTATTATCATCCTCAAAAAGTTTTTAGTACTTGTTCTATTTCTTATTCTGAAAGATGAAAGTATTGATCACTTCATAAACATGGTTTTATCAAATCAGCACAACATTCCAGTAACGGTCATTCCAGTAGTGGTCAAATTGACACAAAGTGCACAGTGCGTTCAAGGTATCTCTCCGTTTTGTTGGTGATCTGAATAAATACCTGTTTGTAAATTCTGCTCAAGTGAATGGTCAGGTTAAGACAATCCCTCTTCAAAGGATTGACGATTCTGTACTGATTGTTTTAGCTTTGTTCAGGCAGGACAGAGGCTTCCAGTGACACAGACACAATCTGTCTAACCCCTGCCCTGATAGTATGTGAATCATAATGATTAGTCAGGAGAATCCCTGAGAAGGAAGGTCTCTAGGTATGGACTATATTCCAGACACTTTGTTTCATTTTCCATTTTGGTTGGTTTTGTTGTTGTTTTTTTTTTTCAGTGCTGGGATTGGACGGACAGGAGTTCTTATCACTATGGAGACAGCTATGTGTCTCATTGAGTGCAATCAGCCTGTTTATCCATTAGATATTGTAAGAACCATGAGAGATCAAAGAGCCATGATGATCCAAACACCTGTGAGTATCATACTTGTTCTATGTTGCAGAATAATTTCGTATTATCTAGTCGTATCATTAGAAGGACTTGTAATATACTTGCTGTTGATCATACTGCTAAAACATCACCTTTACCCAGTGTAACTGTAGCCATGACTCCAGGCAAGAACAAATTGCTAAGGCTATTAGAAAGGAGCCATTCTTTAAATTTTTACAACAAAAACTTGAAAAAAGCAGCAGCTGTTTCGGGGATACCTGTCAATTAATGTCAAAAAGGGACAATTTAGGCAAACACAGAAGCATCTCAGATGTGTAAGAAAAACCTTCAGTGATGCAGTTCAGTGATTTTATGTTGCCTTAGTTATAATGAAAACAAGCCTTAACTCTGCCCTATAGTGTCTCAATTAAAGGGAAATAATCAGAAACATATTATTCTTAAAAATCAGTGTAGTTAAATCTGATGTGAGATATATTGAAGTAATTTTAAGTGTGTTTGGTCTAAAAAAAGTGACTTGCTACCAGGATTTTTAGTGCTGTCTTCACATTTGAGGTATCTTAAGATGCTAGAATTTTTCCTGGATCTATAATGTTTGGGGATTTTTTGGATAATTGTGATGTTGCTTTAATGTATTGTATTTCAGAACTGTAAAGTTTTATAACAGATTTAGAAACTTTTTATTTGTATCAGCTGTTGTGTAACTCTGAGGGCAGTTTGTATTTACATTTTTTAGAAAATACCTAAAAAGGGTCAAAAGTTTGAGTTGTGTTGTCGGGGGGGGGGGGGGGG